AACCCAATCCTGAAGCAACATTTTGCATTTCGAGGGAGAGAATCTCATCCCGAACATGCTTGCATTGTTGCTTAGAGTGGTCAGAAGACTCTGCATTTTGTCAGCGTCTTCACCAAATAAAACTATGTCATCAGCATATTCTAAGTCAACAAGTGAACCTCCCGGTAGAAGTTCAACCCCTGGAAATCTAGATGAGGAAAGTGTTATCTCTAGAAGTATGTCCACGACAAAGTTGAACAAGAATGGGGAGAGTGGACAGCCCTGACGAACACCACTTGAGGTAATCAATTCTGATGACAGTTCGCCATAAGCTCTCACTCTACCAGTTGTGTTCGAGTAGAGAGCCTTTATAAGGTTAATGTACTTCTTTGGTACTCCTTTCAGTGACAAACACTGCCATAGAACCTCACGATCAACAGAGTCGAATGCCGCCTTAAGGTCGAGAAATACTACCATTGTGGGGCGTCTGAATGTGTGTCTGTGTTCTAGAACCTGACGTAGTGTGAATATCTGATCTATACAACCACGTCCAGGTCGAAAACCAGCCTGATTTTCTCTAGTCTGCTCTTCACGAGCTTTGATTAGGCGTCGAAGTATTATTGAAGCTAATATTTTAGACACTATATTAGTCAAACTGATTCCTCTGTGATTGTCACAAGAGGACTTTTGTCCTTTCTTATAGACTGGCACAATCAGTGATTGAGACCAGTCAGATGGGATTACGTCCAGTTCCCAAATTCTACTTAAGACCTCGGTTAATCTCATTGCTAATACTGGACCACCATCCTTAAAAATCTCAGGAGTAAACCTGTCAGGGCCTGCTGCTTTCCCTCGTTTCAGATTTCCTATGGCTTTTTCAACTTCGTAAAAAGTCGGAGGACCTACATTAACTTGCCATTCAGGTTGACTAGAGATCGTGGGAAACCGAAGTGTGGCTGAAGGCCAGTTGAACTGATCCCTAAAGTGTTCTGCCCATCGATCCAATCTCCTGGATTGAGAATGAATAATATGTCCATCTTTCTCTGAGATTGTTTCGCTAACGGTCGGGTTCCTAATTCCGGTTTCCTTAACGAGTCTGAACAATTGTCTGCTATTACCTATTGCCGCTGCCTTTTCCATCTGTCTTGCTTTCGCTACCCACCACTGTTCGCGATCGTTGCGTAGGCTTCTGGTCAGCTTGCGCTTAAGCTGACTCCGCTCTTCATTATGTTCAGAGCCAGGTGGAATGAGTTTCCGAGCATCTATCAGTGAGATAGATGCTGCTGAGATCCAGTGTTGCTCCCTAACCTTCTGGTTTACCTTACTAGCAGATATCACTGCTGTTTCCACAGCTTTTCGGATATCATTCCATGCTGCATCGGGGTGGGCATCACATACATGGCTGCCTAACTGTTTTCCTAGTTGTTCCTGAAATATACTCTTAGCTTGACTATCATTAAGTAGGCCCCTAAGAGGTTTTCTTGCAGTGTCTTTCCTACGTCCAGTTAGACGCAAGCAAATACGCGCTCGCACTAGAGCATGATCTGAATCTAGGCATGTGCTCCAGAATGAGCGACAGTCTTCTATCGAGCCCCTCCATCGGTGGCTGATAGCGATGTGATCTATTTGGGTCCAACGTTGGGACGAATTAGGGGGTCTCCATGTTAAAAGATGTTTTTCCTTATGTTTAAAGTTAGTATTTGCAAGGAACAGGCGGTTATCTGAGCATAGCTGCAACAGACGGTCGCCATTATCTGTTCTTTGAGCCACGACACCGTAAGATCCACCCAGGTGTCTCTCCCTATCGCTTAGTTTACCTACTTGAGCATTAAAGTCACCGGCCACAATTACTACATCCGAGCGCTTAGCTTTTCGGAGAAGGTCCGAAAGCTTTCTGTAAAACTCATCTTTTACATCATCTGAGCTGCAGTCAGTGGGAGAATAGGCAGAGACGACGAAGAGGCAACGACGAGTGTCCCTATCTTTCCGGATTCTTACTGTTCCGTTCAGTCGGACAGCGCACAAACGACTGTCTACTGGGATCCACTCTAAGAGAGCTAGTTCTGCCCTAGGACTCAATGCTATACCTACGCCGGCAAGGCCGCGGGAAGCAGAATCAGGGCTCCCAGATACACGAAGCGTAAATCGAGTCGGTTCTTTATTTTGGCATGGTGAGGTCAAATGAATGACGCTACTTGGATCCTGTATGCGCGTTTCGGAGACGCAGCACACATCGATGGCGCGAGATTCTAAAGTCCTAGCTAATGAAGCCTGCTGTCCTATTTGGCAAAGTGTTCGTACGTTAAAAGCTCCTACGTGTAGTTTAGAGCGTGGTTTCAGGAGACCAGGAATAGCGTTCCACGTACTCGAATCGTTTGCCCTAGCGGTGCGAGGTGATAAAGAAACGTGGGGAGGGTTAGTCGGGGAGATAAGAGAGGTATTAGAAGGTGTAGGAAAGATTTGAATGTGACCACCTTGGTCTCTTGTGCTGTTACGGGTATGAGGGCTGATATCACTTCCCGGCTGCCCACACCGTGGAAGGGTATTTCTTGAGGAACCTGAAAAGGAAATTGGATTAGTGTTGGTCTTGACGACCTGGGAGCGTGACCGCAGAGCCCAAGGGACAACTGCTTGAGGCCGGTCGCGCACGGCCTTTTTGTGGAAGATTTTTGACGTGTTAGCTCCGTTCTTCAAAGGGCCTTACCGCCGGAGACGGAAATCCGTGAGGTAAGGTGAGGTGTGACATTTTTAGGGTCGACCTTTTCTAACCCCACCCCTCCTTGTGGGAAGGCAGCATCGCTGTCATGCTGGATGTCCGAGGGAAACACCTTACTGCTGTCACACCCCTCTACAGTCAGCAGTACGACTTCGCCCTCAGACCTTGAGTTGCTGCTTTTAGTCTTACCGTTCACCAATCGACCTGCCTGGCATGGTAGAACCTGCAGGAACATATGTTCCAGCCAATATAGCTCGGTTGGGTCATCACGATAGGCAAGCCCGACCACCGCGTCAAGGTAGCAGCTTCGATCGGGTCAGTCAATATTAACTGACCTAATATTTCATCCTAATGTATATCAGATCTCTGTTCAACTTAAATTAAATTCCAGTTATTTCTGGTTTAAAATGTACTTATCCTGTATACAATTTGTCTAATGATTGTTGAACCCCAGTCGATTAAATTTTGTATTTTTCAAACGTCTTTCTGATAATTATACATCTAAAACCATTCAAGTGTAAAATATGAGTCACGAGGATTCTGTGCAATTAACATCTCTAGGTTAAGCAATATTGCATGCGAACATTACTGAATGAGTTTAGCATCTAGATAGTTATTGTAAATCAGGTTGCACTAGACGACCTTATTGTCCCGATTTAGACGGCTTAGCAGATTGCACACCTACCACGTTATCTAGGTAAAGTTGATCCATGATTTATACTGTTTAATGTTTACATTTATCGACTTTTATCATAATTTTTAGCTCAAGAATAACGTAAGTTATATAACCATAATATCTACACAGAAAACAAACAATTAGTTTAGTTACTCAGAATCAAACTATCTTTTATTCCTTTGGTTAATTAACCGATTAGTTCTGTTCACCTGTGACTCACTAGTGAACTTTATTAAGTATTTCCTTTAAATAATTCTGTAAATATTTAAAGCCTGCTAAATGTAGTTCAGTATAAGCTTATTTGGTCTTTTTTATGGACTGGTTTTTCTCTTGTTGTTTATAGTACCGTTATTTACCCATACGTTCTTACAAAATGTACAAACATTGATAATATCTCTTAATTTATACAACTGATAATTTAGGAAATATGTATCTCTTATGAGACTAATTATTATTTGCAAATTGTTGGAATTTTATGCCCATTATTATGAGATGTCTATTTATATATAAATTGACAATAACACTCATTTATACGAAAAAAAAGACACAATTCGTTCATTAATTGTTATGTCTCTTATTATAATAAAAAAGCACATAAAGACGCCTCTCTGTCATCTGTTTTTGTAAATCGTAATGTTCACTACATAATGTAAATCAAATTACATTCAGAAAATTACTGTAATAGTAGTTATTATTACTAGTATTGTTATTTTCCAAGGCTCCTACATAATGTTTGTTTCTGATTTCCTGACCTCTTTCATCAATAAAATCCCTGTTACTGTGAGCTTACCATCTAAGTCCGTGCCAAACATCATCCTTGTGTTGTATATGACAACTTATTCACTTATGATACCAAGCATGTATTCATTGAATCTATGTAAGTCGGCCTCCTGATTTCGTTAATGGTAGTCATGTATACGAGCCCAACCTGTTACTTAAGTTTGAAGACAAGAAATAGGTATGAATCAAAATATACACCATCCCATATATATATTAAAATAGATTACTAACCAGTTGAGTATATAGGTAAACTTTACTTTATAATTATTCGAACTAAAACACATTAAACTATTGAAATGGTATAAAAAGTGTTCTTTATTATTCATGCTATTTAGTTGCGAAATGCTGATAACCATGAATCAAATCAAGCACCGCCTCTATGAAGTGTAGATCTATCGATTTCTGTTCCGAATTTCTTTTTAATTATATTTCGCTGAAAAATCTAGTTTAGCATGCTGTATAACCAGTCTTTGTAGTTGTCCTTTTTGTCGTTTGTTTCGGCCGTATTGACTAATTTCTTTAAGCTCCACAGTTGTTCCGTTTCAGTCTTTTAACAAAAACAATTTGCGATATTTTTGTTCCTTTTCGTTATTATACATTTGATAAACTATTGTTAATAACCAACGAATATTTATATTGTTGTTATCCTTCTTTTTACCAAAAAACCTGTATATTATTTTTTACTGCACAGCTTGGCGAATGAAATCACTGGAAAGGGATCCCTCCCTTCAAGCACACACACACATTATTGTTCAATAAGTGTTTTTTGTACAGATATGTAAACTATCCACACTTAATCATACTAAATACTGTTTTCCTCTTGTCCTCTATTTCCTTTTTCTCGGTTAGATGATCTTGTTGATTGTTTAGATCCCGATTGCTGTACATCGACACATTGTGACCGACTCATTAAACTTGGTCCAAATGCTGGTGGTCTAGCTGCTGATAACGCTCAACAAAGTTGTGCACATAGTGAATCATTTGATTATTACTTATTAATTACACCGATTGCACCCTTGGACAGTGCATTTTATGGCCAATTAGAATTCCTTCTAAGACGTGAACGTATTGTTGTAGAGAACTTTGATCCCAGGTTAGAACAATTTCTGTTAATATGTTGGGTTTTTTTTAATAGAAAAAGTTACTTCTCAACTTGTACCTTTAGATTTCCGTCACCTTCCACTGCTGTTGTTATTTTACTTAAATTCGATCTTATTTTCGTTTTAAAATTCTTTGGTTATTTATTTTCGTATTCTTATTTATTTATTTGTTGATTTATTTATCTATTCTGTTACTGATGTTAATATTTATTTCTTCTCTTGGCGTTTAATTCAATAAGTTTTGATGGCCATAAAAATTTTGAAGACTTTTTCCAAGCAAATAAATTATTTTTATTAATGGACCTTCAATTTGATTATTTTACTCAAAGTTTATGTATTATGTTTCAGCTTCAAGAATTTAATTCACCCAACAGCGTAGATGTTCATTGACCCAACTATTCAGATCATTTCAGAACGACGAAATGAATATAACAAGAGCTGCGAAAAAAGATCTCAATAATTTAGTGACAGTAACACTAAGAAAAACCGAACATTGATAAAATGATCCCAAATGACATGATGGAAAGGAATAAATAAAGGAATTCGGGTATTAAATCGGGAAGTAGATAGAGTGAACGCATCTGTTTTATTGTGAGGGATTCCGATCTATGTTGTACGAAATCTTTAACTACTGATTGTGTTTACTGCACAGACCCTAACCAAGTAGTCTGGATTTACTAACATGGATTGGGCCAACAGTCAGTAACGTCATAGACTGATGCCACGTTTTTAGTTTGATCGCCCCTAGATTTTTACCAACTTATTTCTACAGCAGACAAAATCACCTTCTAGCTAGGCGGTAGTTAGGCATATATAACGCATGTTCCAACCATCTCATTCATGTTTCACAGCTTTTCAGAATCGATATCTTTATTCAGTGAATTAAGCTCGATGATTATCATTGAACTACTCATGATGAATGTCTCCTCCGCTGTCCTATTCTGTTCACCAGCTTAGTGATTTTCCATTTTTCCTAATTAATGTATACAAACTATTACCGAAAATTGCAATATTTGTAACTGTACTACGGTATACAACATCAGAAAGAGACTTCAAAATAAAATGACCCAAGTACGTTACGTGCAATGCATATATCACTTTGAAGTCTTCGGAAACAAACAGTTATGCTGGCCAGTAAAAATTTTTTCTAGTTAAATCAGTAGAAGAAACTAGGCTAGTTCATACTCAAACATCGAAGACTGAACGAGTAGAAACTCATCAAGTAGAAAAATCTCTAAAAATTAGTCAAGTATGAAGATAATGATTAGAGGAAAATAAGTTCAGTCTAATGTTTCATTAGTATGGTGCTTTAGATATTACTGTCTTTCCTTCACACTTCTTGTTAATTTCTTTTATCTACGGTTTTGAATGTTCCAAATCTTTCTAATAACCAAAGCTTTCCGCTAAAACATTTTGTTTTTGTTGACTAGTCTTAGGCTTTCTGTCGACTGGTTTTTGCATATTATAGACAAGCATTTATTCCATATTTTTATTTTATGTACCACAGTTCGTCGGATGTAAAATCGTCCATTAACGAAGTGACTTTTTTAAATGTCCAATTACTTAATATATACATCATAATCTTAGTAGACACCTACAATGTTCTCTTAGAAAAAAACCCTGTACACTCAACTAGTATTTTTTGTATTGCGAACCTCTGAATGCATTTAGTGATGGTGAAATGTACGCAGCGTAATTTTTTTAAAAACAAAATCCTACGGTGTTTTCTACTTATTTCATGACTACGGTGCGTTTTTTCGAAAAGGCATCTCATCTACAGAAAGTGATAAAGCCATTTTGTCAACATTTTTTTAAGTTCATATTGTAAGTATTAAAGAGCTGGAATACTCCTAAATATTGATTTTCCTGAATCTCAAGGTCACCCGCGAGCATATCATAGACCTTGAATTTTGTTTAAATAACCCCTTTTATTCAAAACATGTATTTCCATTACTATCATCTTGATTTTATTTGAATTATTTTATAGTAAGCATCAAGAATCGAGGTGTCAATACCATCAAGATTCGATTTCAAGGCTTAATTTCCAAGCTTAATATTAGGTCTACAAGTTGGGACAAACAACATTCAGAGATTAACTGTAATTATTATATTTCGATGCCAATAAAAGCCTACATATTTTTTCACCAGTTATTTAATATATAACTAAAAAATCTATCACCTCGCTCATCAGTTTCATTAAAATAAACAAAAACGCAATTAATCATTTAAGATTTTTATAAAAGAAAACATTGGATTACTAACTTACTGGGATGATTTTTTCATACACTTCATAACTTACTTTTGTAATTTCAGTATGCTATTAGCTTCTACAAATCCATGTATATTTGAACTACATTCGCTTATTATTTGACAGCATTACTGTTATTTTATTTTAATTACTTTAAATCGTGTTGTGCATTCACATTGTTCAGACGTATTTCCGTTGTTCGTGGTGTGGTTCGTCAGTGGGATGGAACTGTATTTTGGGGTTGTCGTGTATCCGATCGAGCTAATATGCAAAATGGATATACACTAACTGATAAGAATGGAAGGTCAGTTAATTTTCCAAATTCGAACTACTAATTTAATATAAGTTCATATAATCAGCTTTAAAATACGGTTTTACCTCTGAGCCCTAGTAGTCATAACAATGTTCAAACTTGTTATCCAGTAGGTGAAAGTCGAGTGGTTGATGCACTATTGAGTAATTTGTATCAAATAATTCATTTGCTTACCTTGACTTTTGCATGTGAATTAAGAATCGATATAGAAAAGTGGTAGGCAAAGAGTATATTCTCTACTTCTCTGTTATTAATGAACATATAATTTTAATGGGAACCATCGCAGAAATGTTCATTTGTTTCCACTGACAGAACTCTTTTGTGTATATATGTATCAATCGAACAGTGTCAAAGCTGGAATTTTAATGTATTATACTTAATGTTTAATCAATGTCATCCATTAAGTGTTTAAATTGTCATAACGTTTAAAGAAGTTGGTTACAAGTTTTGGTTTACCTACAGTTTCATTACGAGGTTGTATCCCTCGTCTTTCTATGTGAAAACAAAGGGTTAGTGGTGTTTTAACCCACTACTATACAGTAGCAAGTGTTTTCAGTGAACAGATGTTTATTTAACCACGACAAAACACCAAACATTGTTGTTACTTTGTCATTCAAGTCTTTGGTCAACTAGAAAAGTCCCCCTCCGAACGGTTCTTGGAAATAATTATGGATCGTAGTTCTGATTACTCAAAGTCGACCATAGGATTAAAGTTACAATCGCTTTCAATCTTCCTTACTATTGTTAATTCCTTTACCGTTCATATGCTTCTTGTTTATTGTGTATGTGTCTTGACATTTCCGTTAATGTGCTCTTGCTGTTCTTTCAAAAAATGTAGCATCCTAGATCGAAACTAGTTTGAGTGAGGTCCTAACCCTGGTTTTTTCTTTTTACCGTGTCCCGTCTTCAAAGTATCATATTATGCAGCTCATTAATCTTTTTGTGTTCCTTTTTCGAAATATTTATTGCAGATTTGACTTACCAGTTGATGGGGGAACAATTGTTCAGTTAGAATTCTTACGGTATCCGACTGATCGATTTTCAGCCATACATAATTTATATGTCCCCGTTAATCAAATTGTCAATATGGGTGATTTTTATATGTATGATGCTAAACAATTATCACATAATGACCTACCCACAACAATAACAACGAAAACTACTACAAATAATATTATATCAGGGGATTTTGGGGGTACACTTGGTCCATCACCAATACACGGGGATCTATGGATTGTGAACAGTTTTATGCCCAAGTTCTCAGATAAAGATATAGTCGTAGAAAATTTATGTATTAGTGGAAATATACATGACATAGTTACACTTGGTGGTCCTTATATCCAAAGCAATTCATTAATGGATATTTCTACTATTTGCCTAGATGAGCAAAATGTCATATGCGTCAGAAATGGAGCATTGATGTATAATATTCCGATAAAGGTTTGTTAATTTTTTCATGTATATTTTGTAATCATTTGATCGGTAATTTCAGTTTGGAAGATGAAAAGAACCGAATATTTTTATTAATCTTTATAAAGAGATTCGTGTAAGGTATACACCGGATATGCCACCATCCGCCAGCTAGTAAATCCACACAGTGATAGCATTCTATTTAGGTATACAATAATTGAATTTCACCTCAATTCGGATATTTCGCTTTCAATAAATAAACTTACTATTTTTACAGTTTTGTTGTTTATATAGTTGCTAAGGCATTTTTAAAGGTCATCAGTGTGAAATTTTTAAGTCACTTCCGGTGATTGTTTTAACAGAAAAAGCGAATAATTAGATAAAAGGGTAAGTATATTAAACAAATATTCTGATCTGAAATTAGAACTTAGGGCTATTTAATTTTTCGGACGCTTGGAGTATTATAAACTAGAAAACCACTATTAATACAAATTCATTAAATGTGAATGACCAGCGTTTACTCCAGTCAACCAAATTCTCATTTTAATTGTATATCTGTAATCATATAGGATACACAACTGCGGCTTATATACCGTTCCGATCGCACTTCCGGTTACAAACCTGGCATATCTATTCATTTATTAGCATCGAATCGCGCTCCACCTTTGAATTTGAAAGAAATTCACCTAGTAATTGATATTGCTGGTCAACGCCACGTGAAGCTTTTAGAACCTGAACCTGGCTTACTAAACACTTTCTACTGGAATAAAACGGATGGTTACAATCGCTCTGTTTATGGTTTAGCTGAAGCTAAAGGTAAGTATCTGTTTATATTTTTATTTGAAGCTATTTTTTCATTGACAAATCCACGATATATCGTAAAGATTCGATTGCTTCTAGTGTTCTGATACAATGTTTAAAACCGTCTCAAGCATATATCTTAACGTATGAACTACTTTATTTAAATAAAGATTTTTAAAAACTACACTTGTGTATTATTGCTGAATGTGTTCTATTATCTCTCTTCTTACATTTCTATGACCTGATTGCATTCACCTTTCCAGTTTATATGATTCAAATCATTAAAGAAATCTCTTTCCATCGCTTAATATCATATGTTAGTGGACCGTAATCGGGATGGCTACTTTGTATGGCTTCGCAAGAATTTATTTGTAGACTTTATTGAAGAAGTACCTTATGCTAAATAAAACGTTAATTACAACTCGAAAAAAAGGGATTTCCCACCGTAACTGATGTTCACATAACCAACATCAGTTTACCAAAAAATTCCCCTCATTGAGGTAAAGGACCACTGTCTAACTAAGAACTATGAACTTATTGGTTTTGATAAAAATTGATAAATGCACAACAGAATGAAATAAACCTACACAAGATCATGCAATTTTAAACGATCTACTTGCTTTATTGACATTTATCAAACAAGAAACTAATCAGGCAACAATTTGTTGTATAATATGACAACTAAGTCAGAGAACTGATGAAAATTTTCTAGTAACACATATTTTCACCTAGAAACCGACACAAATTAGGGTTATTTTTGTTCACTGATTGGTACTGTTGTAAGGATTCTTTAAACTGCTTAAACAAAAAATAGTAACCTACTGCCCTCCACAGACTAACTGTGAGGCTATATGGTGTTTAAAAATTAATGTATTCTGTTATTAACTTTCATTCTAAAAGAAAGCTTTTGGTTAAAATGCTAATAATTAGACCATGTGTGGCTTTTTATATTATCGAATAAGTTATTATTGTTCTGAGTAATCGTAAGTATCTTCTATGATCAAAATGTTCTAAACTCGAATATCACAATTCTATCACTACTACTTACCATCAACTTCGTAACTATTTCATTTATTATCTACAAGTTTAAATACAACCTTTTTGGAAATACTCACACATAGAAAAACAATCGTTGTAATGGAATAGGAAATATCCCATTTAATTAATGATTAAAAACGAAATCAGTGAGATTGTAACATAATTATGGAAATTGATATTTGAAAAGTAGCAATAAAGAACTTGTTTTAATTTCGTAAAATTCCTTTCAGCGAATTAATCTTTCTTATTTTGTAATAATAGTCATCTCGATTAATCATCCTTTTTTGGCGCCTTGTAACAAATGTGAAGAAGTTCAGCTGTCAATTGATAAATTCAATATCATCCATTTAGATTAAATAAGCTTTAGTCTACATTTTTTGAATACAGAATTGAAATTTCTCAATTTTAAAACATAACATTGTTTGGTTCACTTAAAATGAATTTTCTCTAAGATTAGCCTAGTGATTTTTCCACATCACAGAAGATTTTGTTCGTAAATTATAACAATGAATATTTCATACACACAAACATATTTTTGTTATGATGACATCACGACACTGGACTAAAATTAGTTAAACCAATGAATTTGTTCAATAGATTGTAAATTGTTCACCTTAATGTTGATTGTTTACAATTACTTTTCTAATTTTGATGAATAAGTTCTTTTACAACACTTAAAGTTTTATTGGAACTCTAACATTGAACAACAAATAATTCTGTTTATATAAAAATCAGTTCCTGTTTAGTGTGAATATAACGAAAAGATGAAACTACCAATGTTTCTGATCAGATGATAATACCCATCAGAATCGGTCCATCAAAAAGTGTTAACTGGGCATTAAACTGAATAATACGCAGATTGGTGACGGAGCAGTAATCAATTTTATGCTATCCAATATTCAATACTGATTGAATTTCTTCATTTTGACATCCAACCAATGAAAATATATCCTTTAACACATTACAAATTAATTCACAGAATTTTATCAACACTAAAGTCTAGATAAATACGACATTACTTATTATTTAGTAATTAACCGGTGTGAAATATCTCAGTCCAATAAAAAGTCAGTCTCAGCCTGGATAGCTCAGGGTAAATGCAGCCGATTGTGATAGCAGATGACATGAGTTCAAATCCCATGGCGAGTGTCCATTTTCTCAGTTTTACAGACACCCTGTACCATTGAATGCCTAATAGCAAGAATTCTATGTGCGAAGCCTTTTGCCAGTAGCCACCTAGTATTTAAAGTGAATAATATTTGTAATACCAACGTCTTTTTGATCTATCATTTCAAGCAAACAATTCTTAATATAAATTTTACGTTTGAAAATTATTAAGCTCAGTCATTCTTTTATTTCTGTTGGTATCAATAACTTTACGTTTAACTGTATGTTGACCTAATCTTGCGAAATTTATGTTACGACTAAATCCCTTTTAATCTTTTTTCTTAGTATCTGTTGGTTATGCATACACGAACTGTCCACGTATTTTCTGGGAATATCGAGTTGTCCAACTACCCGGAAGCGAACTAATCAGTTCAGATTTAGCTAATTGGAATTTAAATATTTTACATACGTATGCGGTTAGCCATGGGATTATTTATCGGTATGTTCCACTATACGAGCATTTATATTATGCAGTGGTGATATGGTTAGTAAAATATCTGAATAACTTCTGATAATTTCAAATTAATTAGGCATTGGGTGGATTGTTTATGATAATAAAGCTTGTATCGATCTAATTCCGTTAATTATTTATTCTGTGAAGAAGCGGCTTACATTAGGTTCTCGAATATTAGAGATTCAAGTTTCTACATTCTGGGATATAGAAATTTTTTATCACACTGAATACGAAGCTGAATTTGACCAATCGATTAGTGTGTGTGAAGCCAATCAAACTCCAGATTGTAGCTGTTCGAATGTCAAAGATCAAAGCTGATAAGCAACCGATTGAATTATCGCTAAGAAAATGAAGCCTCTTACTCCGTGTTAAGAATTACTGTACTGGTGAAAAGCACATTGATTTCGTCATGAATTTCTATGAAATCATCTCTAGCCTCTCCAAAGGAGATACATGTAGAAAAGTACACCAAGCATCGTGAGGTTCCCGCTTGTATTTAGCTTCGCAAAATAGAGCTTTAGTACAGTAGGCGCTGAACATACATGATTAATTAATTAAAATAAATAAAAAACCGAAACATTTCCTGGGATATTTGCAAGGTTGAAAAAATAGATGTTTCATCGGGACATCAAAGATTTGGCTGCTGGGTACATGGTTTATATATATATGGCTTAATTATTATTTCGTTTAATTTTGTTAAGCGGTGATGGTTCACATTTCTACTTGAAACAAACAGACTGGCATATTAGTGCAGTCATTGGACTAACTGAACAACGTCGACCGCCAAACGACTGTAGTCAATGTTCAATTAATGATAAACCAACTCGACAATTATCTCTACGTAACCCATACTGTTTACTAACTGATTCAGTTGGCAATCTTCTAATTGGAGATGGGGGATTTTTACGTTGGTTAAATTCAACTAAATCAGCCGAGGAGTACAAGTAGGTTAATTTGTAATATTCACTTTTTATTTTTTTTCTTTTATATATTTGTTTTGGATACATTAAAATTGTGTAACGAAATAGATTAATAAAATGAATGTTATTCTCTGTGTTGTGTTCAATCTGGTACTAATCTATAAGCAATTACATTAAACTTAAATCGTTTACTCTAGAAACTTTGTTTCCGCCATAAATACTTTCTGGAAGTTACATATCACTTAAAATACTGTTTTGTCCTTGTTTGATAAACTATTATTTCATGTCATCCATCTTTATTATCCCTGAAACTATACTTAGACTTTGTAGAACTATAATCATCACTATGTATACATCGCTTCTTCAATGACCAGGAAAGACCAAGAATTTCAATTTTCATTAGATTATGAAATTTTTTCAATTAAAAAAACTGTCTGATTTTGTTTTCGTGTAATTATAACTATCGAGTTAGGTCTGCCGACTGCGAAATTGACATTTTCACTGAGTTTCCTAAATTCATTTGTTCATTACATCCCAGAGATCAGAAATCAACTATAATTTGTACTGCCCAACTTCATATTGAATAAATATTCTTTTCTTAATTCGAACGTCATAAAATTCTTTCTCTATACTTATCTTTCAGGTCTTCATCAGTGTTATCGTCTTCCTCACTATCTTTTAGAGCGCCACTGATAAGATCAGATTCACTAAACAGTCCATTTCAAGAACAATTGAAACGTAATGATCGTAGAAGATGGGAAACAATAATTGATTACAAGCTTGACTTTCTTCAATCTAATTTTGATGAAGATCAGTTAACAAACTATTTTATAACTGTTCATCCAAATTATATATATCGTACAAACGATTACACTATGGTAACATTATTAGGGAACAGTGGAAATGTTGGTGGAGCAGACCTTTCAAATGGATTATTCCTGTCACACACGAGTAGTAAAAGCATATGGTGGCTAAAAACTACACCAGATTTATCAGCACACTTACTTATTGGAGGAAATTGTCAATCGCCAAGCTCTAAATCTAACATTAATTCTGAATCATCGTCCTCAACTGCATTCAACTACCAAGAGTTCTGTATTAAACAGAATTTGAAATCCCCTAAAGGAATTGTCGCTACACAAACGGTGTGTGCTTGTTTCTTTTTGTTGTACATAAACTATCTTACAGCTCCATTTTGCTGCACTCAATAGTTTTTGTTGGGTGATTTGCAGAAATATAAATTTAGTGTTGAGCGAAAAAAAGAAATCTAATGGGAACTCTTTGATTTATTACTTTATGTAAGATTTATGTTTTCATTTCTGCTACCACATATAGATCCTTACCACGTCGTTTAAATGAGAAACTGTATCTGCGAACTATTTAGATGTAATTTGAATGCACGAAACATACACTTCCTAAATATTACCTCCAATAATACTCATGTATAAAGCATATATATAAAGCATCCAACTGTAATTTAACTTAGTGGTCTAATCAATTTTTTGGTTGGTAGATAGTGGTTGTTAATCTCCCTGGTGTAAATAAGATATCTAGCTTCATTACCTATTCATTCATATCTGTTTACTCTGTGATAATACGGACCCTCTTCTATGATTACTTGTCTTACCTGCAATCGATTTAATGAAATCTGCCTCTTGAATCCAGAACACTATTGATTCACTTCATTTCGAAGGGTCAATTGATATAAATCAAATGTGCATGAAATTGTTTTTTGTGTCAGTTGAATTTTTATTCAAACATATATTAAACAATTTCGATTTTCTTTTTATTATTTAAAGAAAACTAATTTTATTATTAATTCTAGACATTATTGTTCAGTACAATTTTATCTGCGAACACCTTAGTTACTAAACCAATCAACAATGTTATTATCTCTTACAGAATGTGTTATCCAATCATATTAGCGACTCAATCAATCCATTGCTTCATAGATAGTATTTTAGATAGACCAAATTTACAGAACAAGTTATTAATACTAGCACAGTGTAGTATGAATTATAATTTCGGTTCAAATGTTTCCGTAAATTGTATACTACTGGCAAGTAGGTAAAACGTAATTAAAACAATAAATAAGAAAACTGTATTTCACTCTATAGATTTCACAATACTTGATAACTGAACAAATTACTTGCTTTATTTCAAGTCATGCATTAATTGATTATATACATATACGTTCTATTAAACAAATTGGGATAGAGATACTCGGTTTTGTATCAATTGTTCGTGAACTAAATAAATAAATATGTTTCAAATTTATTTGTAGACTGTTTATTAACAGCATTTATCAAAAAGTCGTATAATATGGTACATTTTGTCTCATTTACTTGTATAATATTGTTTTTTTTTATAACGGTTTGTTTGTTTTAAGTTTGTTTATACTTTTCGTTCCCAATATAAATATATAGGAATTGTATTTTATTGATTCTCAATCTATTTGGTCATTGTCGTTACGGCAAACTGGTTCTAGTACGATCCCATTTTCCCGACTTGTAATTGGAAGTGATCCAAATTATTTATCAAATCCAAAGTCACTTAATACAACTACCTCAGGGACCAGTATTCCAAAAACAACTCCATCTTCATCGACACCACCTTGTGACCGATCTGTCCCGGGAAATCAGATGTTGTTAAATAATCCTGAACACTTGGCATTTAGCACCTTAGAGCAAACATTATACTTCTCTGATAACGACCATGTAAGTTTTTATAATTATGAAAAAACCATTTTGCTTGAAATACTGACTTCGTTAAACAACTCATTAATAATATTTTTCCCCTAAAACCATCTGTTAGATGCTAAATGACTGTATAATACCTGTTAAATAATTATTTAGTCGAGGCTATGAGCTGTCTAACAAATATAGTATGAATGTAGTATCAGTCAGCAACTTTCAACTAAGTTTAAAGTAAACACTATCTCCCTCTGTATTCCAGAATAAATTAATTCTTACAAAACTCACAAATCTGTACAGTTTCTACAGATTTGTTAAAAGTTATTGGGAATTACACTAATCGAACGGCTGATAAAGTTTCAGATATAATCATAAACCTTTCCCCTCATAGGTCACATTCTGTAGTAATATGTACACTCGGAATGATCTTAACCGTTCATGAATAATGATCAAACTTCTCTCATTGACTTAAAGTGAAAGTGCACTAATACCTGCCTGTTGCTCTGTGTAATCAGAAAAAACTTTATCGTAATAAATATGTAGATCGCTTCTTAGCATTGCTAATTACCAAAAATTTATCTCTAAATGAGACCACTATTAACTTCGGACAGAATTATTATTAAAACTTAACGTCATGTTGATTGTCTTCAAATGATTAACGAACCTCGTGTTTATCAGGAAATCTGTTCGATTAATTTTGATAGATTATGAGCTCACCATGTCTTCAATATCATCTTTAATAATTTATATCAAATTTATCTAGATTTTCACTGTAATTTAAGTGTTTTAGAAGACTTTAATTGCAGTTTATGATATAAGGTTGGGACCGTTTTAAAATCCATTACCTAAGAATCTGTCATATTTGAATAACTTATGATCAATCTGAGATTCGATTCTTTGCTGCACTCTGCACACTCAGTTAGGTACCCTTATGGTCTGACTATAAGTGGTCAGTGATATGAAAAAAGTGTAAGCCTTCAACCGAATCTTTGCAAAACACTTAACAAGAAATACTGGCGAACTTTTTGGTTTGGGTTAAGCTCAACCGAATGAGTTCATACATATACCATTGAATGAAATCATGTTTGTTAAAAATGAAGTATTGCTATTTGGTCATACTATATGGAAGACAGTTATGCATCTTTTTATCTGTATGTGTAATCAAAGGTAAATGGAGTATATTCAAGCTTATTCTTTTTTGAAATGTCGTTAGTAAGAAATATATTTACTTTGTTGAATTCCACATAACTAATGCTAAATCAAACACTATTAGCAAGTAGGCAAAGCGTAATTAGAACATTGAATAAGAAAATTGTAACATGTTAAAATCGAAAATATCAAATGTACATTATAATATAACTAAAAACGATAACTCTTTTTAGCGTTTGCTACTAGTAGTCTTATTTCGCTTGCACTACCATCTAAAAACACAAAAATCTCGTTTGTTATTTTAACCAATAATTTGAGATGTCTTATTAAGTCACCAAGTCGATATATACTAAAGTGACAGGTATGTTAGCTGCAAATGATCTAACATTCACAGAAAATGGTTACGAATTTTTTGCTTAGATCCTATGGCAACCATTAGAATATATCAACAAATTGATAACATAACATTTAAAAAAATTTGTCGTAATAATTGTGAATATGTAATTGTCTTTTTAGGTTTATCGTTACCATTTAGTCAATCAAATGGTATCGTTAGCAGCTGGACGCCTTAAAGGCTGTCCTATTAAAACAGATGATTGGAGTTTTGCTCCACTGGCAACACAAGTTGAATTAGGTGATATTCGTGGTCTCAGTGTATCACCTCAAGGTGATTTGTTTATCGCGGGACCTCAGCATATATGGATCCGTCGGTCGAATGATAATCGCTTGTATCCTATTACTGGAATTCATCCTAGTCAACCTAGACAGTTCAAGGGAGATGTGAATAATTCAAAGAAACGTCATTCTAACACTGATGAAAGTGTTATAGATTTAGGATTAGTCAATGAATTTTCATTTAACAGTATTAGCAGTATAACTGTCAGTTTATTTGGTGAACTATTTGTAGCCGATAATTCACATAACAGAGTAAGTTTAAAATATCAACAATACTTATACGGCTCTATTCTTATTTTGTTAATTTCCATAGAATTTTATTTTCCTTAATGATATCAACATCGAAGTTGCTTGAATAGCTAAACACAATGTCATCTTTACTCGTGTCAAAACATTTTTTGTGTTAGAGCAAGCTGTTCTACTGTGATACACGAAAAATGAATAGTTACCTTTGCCAACAGCCTGTTTGGTTGTGTGATTTCACGAGAGGCAATAGATTGTTTTCTGCTGTACAGTTAAATCTTTTCTAATGTGAGCCATACACTGTACAGATTGTGATTTTATTGCAGTGTTTGAATTTCACTCTGTGGTGATTTTGCATGATGCACGTTGTGCTACTGAATAAACCCTAAAAACACATAAGTTAGACATTCTAGTCTGTTTCATTTCAGCTGAATTTACTGTTCTCTTTTATTTGATATCCATGATTACGCATACTTTTGTTGTTAAATAAGTAATCTATCTATTCTACCGCATCTGGTCACTGTGTCGAGCGTATTTGTCTATCTTCATTGTACCACTTTCATAGGCTTTACAAATTCGTGTCAAGCGTCTTCTCGAAGGTCATTCTACCCTAGATAACAATAACAAATGGCTATCTCGCATTATACTGCTCTGGCACACTGTGTCCAGACCACTCAATTTGTTTGATAGATTAAGCTACTTTGTTTTTTCTATTTTTGTGGCCTATCTACGGACTAGAAGTCTTCCTCTTTTGTGTTTAATGGGCGTAAATTATAATAAAAGTCAACCAATTTACTCAACAGTTATTGTTTAATGCGAAATCACTTCCATCACTAGTAGGAGCATCAAGAAACAAATTATAGTTGGGAATAAACAGTTGTTATAGATATTTGCTAGCGGTTGAGTCGTCTGATCTGAATGAAATCATTAAATGCTCTATCGTATCTAAAAACGAAAGGATTTTAAGTAACGTTTTTGCCACTTAACTCTTCATAATTTCTATGAAAATATTCACTAAAATTTGACACTACGATTAGAACGGACAGAGATGGTTTTCAAACTTTGTGTTCACCAACTGATCCTAGTTTGACCATCACTGAAAATCTGGAATTGCTGGACAGTCGTTTCGTCCTAGTGTAAGACTCCTCTAAACTTGGACTAGCTTTTAGATATAATTCCTGGAGTTTTGGTGAAAAATCGTGAGCGACGGAGTTCAACCATGTTGAATATGAGACAGTTATCCAATCCTGGCACTGTGATAGTTGAGCAATATTGTGATTTGATTGAAATTGGACATTAATACCGTTGAATCTTGGCTGAATGGTCTAGAGTTTAGATGTTTATACACGAGACCTAAGTCCTTGGGTACGATTCCCGGTTGCGGGGTCGTAAATACGCATTATTGGGCAGTCCCGTACTAGAGCGAAACGGCCATCCCCTGGTTCCAGGTTTTCAGTAGTGGTCAAACTAAAATGATTTCGTGATATAGTCTTTGACGATTCTTTGGCCTCCACAAAACTCTACACTGATAAAAACGACTTTAAAACTTATACTTGGTTATACGACTAATGAAAGTGAATTATGTGAAGGCCCAATTAAATGCAAGTGATAGTTGGAAGATATGTTTGCGGCAATACATTTATTTGTCGTAAATAGAGCACATACGGATTATAATCGATTTTCGTCACTGGTGTTACTGGCTTTCTATCATTTATAGGAAAACAGTCATTACATTCTGTTCTCAACTTAGCTGCATTTCTTAGATTATCCCCAAACAACGAATAATAACTGTAAAGTCAACTTAGTAAGTGAAAAAAACAAGGAGTTATAAATACAATCGCCAGTCAGTTTAATGTTCATATACCGAAGTTTAAAGTGCATTTTCGCCTTAATTTCATAAATATGAAAAAAGTAACAAAAATCGCCACATGGTGCTCGAATATTGAAGACTATTGTTATACGAGGTTGATAAAACCGTGGATTCAAAAACAGTTTTCGAATCTAGACAAACTAGTTAACCTATTTAAGCTTACTTATTCTTAGGATCCTTTAATTAAATAATCTGAGCTAGTTATGATAATAATCTTCAAAATTCTGAAAATATCTTGCAGGTCCTATTGGTTTAAAGTATGTTAGTGAAATATTGCTTTGACTGACAGTTCTTGGAAAATGATCATTCAAAGAATAGTTTTCACGTACCGATTTTATTTGAGTTATCTTTGAAAATGTAATGTCTACACCCTTACAAATCAAGTATTCATGCTGAATTATTATGATTGAATAATTTTTCATGGCATTAAAGAGTTCTACCCCAGGTGGAGACACATTCCTATATGTTTGTCTGATTTAGTATTTATTTGCTGAGCCCATCGATACCTGTATTTCTGAATCCTAAACCACATTTTATTCTACCACATTATTTGATAGATCGATAAATTGAGACCAGTTTCAACATTTGATGCTGAAGATAAATTCTTATTTATAGACAGATACACTAGATTAATAAGGAAATGCTATTCTATTCTGTTTTTGGTAAGCTACTGCTTAAATAGTTCAGTGTTAGCATCTCTAGATGTTACACTGAGTGACACGCATTTGAACCCTATGGCTGGAATCATATTCTTAAAAATTGCAGATTTCTCTTGCTGACAAGTTTTAACAAAGATGAAACGCAAGTCCAGCGTGTCCCGTCCATTACCTGCAGTCACCTAGCATTGAAGAGAAGTGTACGAAATTCTGAGTTACTTCGCTTGATGACTTCATTGTAACCTATTTGGATCTCAACCAGAGCCAAGAATTAGACGTAATGACATCGATGTCAATTAATACTAGACTGTTAACTGATTTATGCAAATTTATTGCCAATATAGGGAACTCAGACGACTGTTGCATGTAAAATATCGATATCTGAATGATTTGACCAGTAAAATTCATTTTGCATTGTTTATTTGAATCTTCACATTGATGTTTAGGATTGCGATTGATCAGTCTCTTATCGGCGTGTGTGCACCCTGTGCGGATTGCATCGATATTTCCTTAAGTCACAAGCATTATAAACAAAGATCGATGGTAGCTAGCAGTGGAATTCAGGACGCGCGTTTCGTCTTATTTGGGACTCGTCGGTTGGCTGTATCTGCATTCCAGAGTCGATGTTCACCCTGGGACTCGAACCCATTACCGTTCACTTCAATGGGAAGATTCAAATAAGCAGTGCACAGTGAATTTAAACTTCTCTCCATTGCACAAGCTAGTTGCTATCAGGACTCGGTAGCTAAGTGGATAACGCGATGGCGTTTGAAGCGAACGGTACTGGGTTTGAGTCCTAGATTGAACATCGACTTCGGGATGCAGATGCGTCCATCTGACGAGTCCCAAATAGGATGAAAAGCGCGTCTTGTATTTGACTGCTAGTCATCATCCGTCTTTGCTTAAGACTTAGCCGGTAATTTTAATTTAGTAACTGGGTATCTATCTTAGCTTGGATGTTACGTGAACGAAAGACAGGCTTTATAGCACAGGTGTTCATTCCGTTTTCAAGTTTCACCGATATCTAAACAAACTAAGTTGCCTACTCAATAATGATTAACAAAATTTATCACCATGAGTATGAGTCTTAAATCCCGACTGAAACCCTTTAACGATTAGATTCTGTTATCAATTCGTTTTTGAATTTATTTCAGATACCATGTGTTAAATTTTCTTAAAATACGATTTTCATCTCGATATCCTCACTTTTATTGGTATCAGTTTGTATTTTCTTGCAGCAATTCATTTTATGTACTTGTTACTTCACGATTCACTTCACGCTTTATTTATGCAACAGGTATATCGTATACATTATCAATTGCCGGAAAAGTCTGAAACAGGCAACACATATCGTATACTATACTCACAAACAGATGAAATCGATTCATTCGGTTCTTATGGCCAATTGATTTCAACTGAGAGTGCTTCTACTCAAATGATATCACATAGACTGGATTATCGTAATAATGAAATAAGCGGTTGGCTTTCACAAATTCGTGGTGATGATCATAATATTAAATTAAGTATACATCGTGATACACATGGAAATCTTTTACGCCTTCAAACCCCAACAGGTAAAATGTTGTTCTTTTATTTTTACTTGTTGGTTGCATTGCATCATAACAGCATCTGAAACGTACATCTTGAAACTGGGTAAACAATACGAAATTGACAACATTTACTCATTCCGTGCTTTCTTCACGGTCGTAATTCAGTTAACATATTTCGTGGCATAACTGTATGAATTGCCTTTAACAAAACGTAAATGATATGACAGTATAACACAAAGACAAACTACAACACTAGGTCAGTTAGATCATAATAGTTATAGTCATTATTTTCCGCACAAAATTTCGTTGTATCATATAGTTGTTTCATATTTCTTTCTGTTGTAGCTTTATCCGCTGTCCTTGCTGGGTCTTCCACATATTTCTGCTTGTCAGCTCTATTACTCTTCCTCACTTTCTTGTTTGCTTCTGTGTATCTAGCCAGTGCGTCGACTTCCTCTGTTCTTGTTTGACTGTCGTTAATTGTTGACTTCTTGTTCTTCTTTTCTTGAATCTCGTCCAGGGTTTCCATAGAGATCTGTTCCTTATGATGAAGCTTGTTGTGGCCGAACACCTCCTGACACGTAGAAGTCAGTGTTTCTTTGATCCCTTTCGATTTGTCCTCTATAGTAGTTTCCTCTTCTTTGGGTAGATCTTGTAAGACTTGAAAGCTGTAGTTGAGAGCTATCTTGAGTTCGTTGGGTTTGTCAGTATCTCGAAGAAAGGCTGTATTAAACCTTGGTACTGCTGTTTCCCCAGTTGTTCAGAGCTTCATTAGCCTCAGTTTTATCTTGGCCACAACCAGCTAGTGGTGATCTGAAGCTATGTCGGCTACGTTCCTTGTTCTCATACCATCCACTGAGTTTCCGAATTATTCTGTGTGGTGTGATCCGGTGAGACCCATGTAGCTTTGTGTGTGCGATTGTGTGGGAATATCGTGCAGCATATAACCACTTTTTGAATGCACATAAAGTTGCAAATCTCTCATCATTTTCGTTCCTCTTCCCTAGTGCATGTTGTCCAATAATATCTTCGTACCCGGTGTTGCCCATCCCGACTTTGGCGTTTAGGTCTCTCATCAGGATGGTCAGGTTTTTTCCTGAGCACTTCGCTATGATCGATTGCAGCCTCCAGTGAAACTTGTCTTTCCAAAAATCTTTCACAGGTGAAGCAATGTTTTACTCTTATTGTAGAATGAAATAACCAAGAAGTAATAGACAAATGTATCTCAAGATTACTTCCTTACGTCTGTTACCCCTCGTACAGTAGCATAGGGTTTCTACCAGCATTTTCGATTCAACTCTTTCTTGAGAAATCCTTTCCAGTGTCTATTCATCTTTATCATGTCTGCTTCCGATTCTCGACGCAGTGTGTTCTTCAGCATTCCTCATTGCCATTTCCCTTTAGGATTCCAAGTTATAGCTTGCCTCGTGATGCAGTTTGATAATTTCCTTAATGTGTTCCCTATCCTCTTTCAGCGTCTTTTCCTAATTTCCTCTTCAGATGGAAGCTGGTTTGCCCTCTACGATAGTAAGTTGTTATTGATGGTATGCGGCCAACGGACATTAAGTATCTTGCGTAGAAAATTGTTTAGAAATACTTTTACCATTTGATGATGGTTGTGGTAGACCTCGAAGTTTCCGGTCCGTACAGTAGAACTGTCTTGACGTTCTCACTGAAGATTATGGCTTTGATCCTAGTTGACAGTTGTTTTGATTTCCATATGTTCTTCAACCGTAGGAATGCTGTCCTTGTTTTGCCAATACTTGTATTTACATCTGCATCGCATCCTCTCTGTTCATCGATTGTGCTGTTCAGGCACGTGAGAGTTTCCACCTCTTCTAGAGCTTCTCTATTAAGTGTGATTGGGTTGGTGTTCTTCATGTTCTTTTTGAGCATCTTGTTTTTTTCCCTGTGTATGTTGAGGCATACTGATGCAGAGGCTGCTGCTACACTAGTTGTCATCGCCTGCATTTGTTGCTGTGTGTGGGATAGAAGAGCTACGCCATTTACCAAGTCCAAATCATCTAATTGCATCTAAACAATCAGTTGTATTCTGTGCTTCCCCTCAGATGTAGAAGTCTTCATAATCCAGTCAAACACCAAAAGAAAGAAGTACACCATAGTGTCAAAGAGGGTTGCATAAGTTTCTCTTATCCACATTTCCAGATGCTTTCTGATAGTCAAGGAAGTTGATGTATAATGATGAGTTCTACTCAATAGACTGTTCAACAATGAACCGTATTGTCACGATTCGGTCGGTACACGGCAGATCATTATGAAATCTAGTTTGTCGATCTTGATGTTGACTGTATGCTGCATCCTTCATTCGGTTCATCAACACTATTGAAAACTTTCCTTGATACTGACAGTAGTGCGATGGCTTTGTGGTCCTCATACCTGCTATGATCTTCCTTTGGTATATTGATGTGACATCCCTATTTTCAGTCTGTCGGTACTTGTCCTTTTTCTTAAATCTTTCTTAAGAGAACGTGGAGCACCTTTCGATTTGCCTTCATATCTGACTTTAATGCTTTAACTAGGATAATGTCTGGTCTTGATGCTTTCTGTCTATAGATTTGTCTGATAGTCATCTTGATTTCTTCGATCATTGGTGGAATGACATCTATGAGGTCTGTAGGTGCTGCTCCAATGTGTAAAGGGTTCATTAAGGTTGGTTTACTCAAGAACTCTTCAAAGCGTTCTACCCACCTGTTCCATGGCTTTTGAATTTTATTAATTGGTTTGCTTTATTTGTTCTTGGCTGATCTCTGGGGTCTATCGTATTTTCCTGCTAGTTTTTTGGTTGTCATATAGTTGTCCCATATTTTCCTTTCTCCAGCTTTTTCTACTGTCGTCGCTAGGTCTTTCATGTATTTCCGTTTATCATCTCTAATGCTCTTCCTCACTTGTCTCTTTGCTCCTGCGTATTCGGTTAGTCCTTTGGTTTTCTCTGCTCTTATTCGGCTGTTGTTGATTACTGTCCTCTTGTCATTCCCCTTATGAATCGTGTTTAAGGTGTTGATGGAGATCTGTTCTTCATATTGATGCTTCATGCGGCCCAGGACCTGAAATATCGGAGTTACGGTTGTTTGCGGTTGTTTCCATAGTGGTTTCCTCTTCTTTGAGTCGATCTTGTAAGGTCTGGAACCTGTTGTTGGGTTCTATGTTGAAATTGTTGAGTTTGTCAGCATCTCGAAGAAAAACTGTATCAGACTTTTGTATTGTTGTTTGTCGAGGTTTCCAATGCTTCTTTAGCTATAGTTTTAGCTTGGCCACTACCGGTTGGGGGAAAATGGTGCCACTTATAACCATTTTGTTGAAAAGACACAGATTCGCAAGTCCGTCACCATTTTGGTTCTTTTCTCCAAGTCCACGTCGTCTCATGATATCTTTATACTCGGTGTAATGTGACTGAGTGCTAGGATTTAATTCGTCTTACTCATTAAATGAATTTTTTTTAATTTCAGGTCATCTGTACAATGTAACACTGGAGCCTGGTTCTGGACAACGCATTAGTACTCTTGTTGATCCAGTTAACGGAGGTCTTTGGAAATTTCTTTATTCATCAGACGGTCTCTTAACTTATTTAAAAAATCCACAGGATTCAAGTTATACACAATTTCACTATGCTCCTGAATCAGGTCGTTTGCTACAAATTACATATCCGAACGCTAAATCTATTGATGTAGCTCGTATTGTCAGGAGTCAAATCCCTGTGAATATGAGATTTCATACTTTGGATGAAGTTTCAAATCAAGATAATACACCTAAAAGTGATTCAACAAATACTCCTGATCAGTTGTCCACAGGTATGCTTACACATTATACTAATGTGTTTAATTATGTGTGGCTACATGCTTCTCAATGCTAAAGTGTTGTTGAGATAACTTTGTTTTCAAGTTACTAACGGTATCTCAAGTAGTTAGCAGTTTATTGTGGGAGGCATAATCACTGGTCAAGGGACAACTAAGCTACTTCGGACTAAATCTATTACGATGAATGTCTCAGGTATTGAAGTTGTGTCAGCCTAGACCATGGAATAATGAACCATGATAATTGAAGTTATTGTTTATTTTCTTTGTAATGAATAACGTAAGTACTTGAAACAAACCCAGCCGCTTAAGCATTCTGTTTGGACTGATCAACGGCCTAAAATAAGTATTCTTCGAAATGTTCACGGTCATAATATACCATAATTCTTCTGCAGATATTTCATAAATTACATATTTTAACAGAATTTCTATTAAAAAGCATTGCCACTATATTATGTCTCACTCAGTTGTCTAGTTGGCTCATAGGTTCAGAAAGAATGTTCTACTATATTAAGGACCTGCCAACTTTATATAACTACATCTCGAAGAATACTAGTGATCGTACTTCCACCAATAAACAGCTGTCCAGTGCTTCCTGGCTTTGATTTATAAATTCTCCTAAACATCCAGTAACAAAATATTATCAAGTTCCAGTCACAGTCACATTGATCACTCTATAATATTTTGTGCTATAACAGATCCAAAAATTTGTATATAAGTTCTCAGATTGATGTGATGAAAACCTGACTCATGTATTCACAGTCAAACGTATGTCTATATAGTGTTCTCAATTTTACGAAATGTCTACTCTTGTACTTGTGTATAGCGTTGATTTCAGGCATTGATAATGACAACGTTTCTTTGAAATTGTAACTCATTAATCCAAGCATTTAATTTTAACCCACTTGTTCACTTGTATGAAGCTCAGTGACCTACTTATTTTGAAGTAACTAGCCGGTACCGCTATTTTCTCATTATACCTTGCATGCAACGTAGACCAATCTTCACTAAGCTCTAAAGTAGCTGTAAATAATTTAGTGATTAGTCAAAATAATCACGGTTATTTTGTAACGTGTAATTTTTTAAATACAATGTAATTCGAAAGCAAACCAAGAGCTTTAGATAATATTTTGTTATCTCAGTAATCATGATACAAACTACGGATTCGAATAAAAATGAGATGGAAATCGACTATGGCGATTCAAATAACCTTTGGAAAGTTCTTCTAGCGCAAGTTTATCAAATTCGAAAGGATTTATACGCACCAGTACAATTGGTTCGACAAATCACGATACCTGGGAATAGTATAAGAAATGCAATTGAACATACGTAAGTTTGTTTACTTCTCAGTATATTGCTTTTTTGTTTGATCATTTGTTTCCAGTTATTTGAGGTGATGGCCACTTATTCTAACGTTTAATAGACCATGCATCTTTGTACTATGATGAAAGATTATTTACGTGCAAAAATACTCTCTCTTGCACTGAATCGCAAGCACAGGTATGACCCAGGCAAACAAGACTTCATTTAATGTAGCTTAAAAACATACTAACTTAATAACTAAACTCTGAAACACTAGAAAATCGATCAATTTGACCACTCGCATTTTTTTCCGTAAACATATAGATATACGGTGACTGATCACCACCTAGTTATCATTCCCTTTTTTTATAGTCGTGATTGAATTGTACCTACCAAGTCTCATCGTGCCTACTAGTCCAAATGATTTCCGAATACTCCTAACCATCTAACATCAAAACAGTGCATGCTATATTGAGCAACTTGGATCAACTAGTAGCCACACTAGAATTCGATTTGTACAATCCTGTCAGCACTAACTTACTGAACAAACATGACACTCATCACTACTTGATGATTAATCAGCGTAAAGATACCAGTCTTATCGGAGGTCAATCTCTCCCCAAACAGCTCAATGTTAAGGTCTTTGACTGAAGCTGAGTGATCCCAGTTCGAATCCTACAAGGATCATCAGTCCCCTCCAGATTGTAGGTGATATATGGTACGACACCTAGATCCAGGATTTTCTTCCGCCTACCTCCAACCACATAAGGTACGTAAATGTAGATAAATGCGTACGTATATTGATTCATCGTAAAGAAAAAAAAGCAAATCTACTAATACGGTTTGGCAACCATAAATAATCACAGACTACTTTGTAGATGTATACTTATCTTCCCTCATCCCCATCTTCTCAAATTACCCTATATTGTAATTAATTAGCTAACGATCTACAAAAATTACATGTAACGATACAATATATACATATAAGCTTACAGGTTTTTTCAAAAACTTTTTGATGCACTTTCATTATGTTTCTGAATATGATGCATATTATGGGTTTAAAGGTAGAAAAACATAAGGAATCTGACAAATTAGATTTAGATATTTTTCAAAATAATGATTTCATTTTTTCCTATAAAAATTTCGATTGATAGTTGTGGCTTGAAATGAATTTATCGTCAAATAAATAACCAGATCAACGAACTTTAGTTTATTACTATAATAACCACAACACCAACTCAAAGCACTAATTCACACAACAAAAAATTTCTAACACGAATTCAACACGGAATTGTGATGCCTTGAGTTAGTAGCACCACGCCTCAGTAAATATTCTTTTATTTTCTTCAGTTTCTTATTATTAATAGCCAGTAAATTCACTAACTAGTCTCATCTATCGATCATCATTAACATTTTATCGAAGCCACTTTTATACTAGTAACCAGTATAAGTCATAGTAGGTGATTAAACGGTTTGCATCAAATGTTGATAATACCAATAATTGACTTTTTTCTAGAAATCAGTGACTAACCTCAACACTTATCACTACTTGGTAGTTTCACAATATATTAACAATTGCCTAATGATATATATACGTGGTTTTAACCCTTCATCCACTAACATGACAGAAAAGTGTTATATTAAGCCATCCATTTCTATTTTCTTACGATCTAAAAACAAGTTAACAAGTTCACTGTAGCGCACGGTAGCAAGCTCCTGAAATTTTATTCACATCTGGACATAGCAAAATATGTTAAAACATTTGTTCATCAATTATACCATTATACGTTTCCCTTTCATTCCAGTTATCATATAGACATTTTTAAAACTCATCTCGTTTCATCAAACATTATACTTTTCCCTATGTAGAAATGTATGGACATATCATTTGAATGATCAAAGTAATCCAAGAATACTTGATACTCATACTTCAATTGGTGGTGGAGGATATTCAGATTTTGGCGTAAATTTTGATAAGAAGTCACAACCATATCACTTTTTTAAGAATCATTTTCGACGTAGTATTTCGGCACAGAATTATCTATCTGGATCAGATTTACATCGTTCAAAACGTCAAATGTCCCATCCCTTTTCTAAGAGATTTACTGCTCGGTCTATTTTTAATTATAATGACAAGAATTATAATAATCTCGGTGAAGAAGTAGACTGGCATTATCAGAAGACCCTGACAGTAAGTGATAAACGTTTATCGAATTGGTAACTCACTTCTAGTACTATTTTTTTTGTTAGGATCATTACTTAAAAATAACTGATAATTTCCGAACCATTTCTTTTGCGTACAATAATAATAGTGTCATTCTGAGGAACTTGAAAGTTGATAATGTCAAAATTATAGTTTAATAAACAAACTTCAGCAAAGCATGTTGAAATAGTCTCATCCTATAAAAACAGAGAATCAATATTATAAGATTTACTTAATACCTTAGATGGGTTGATTTTCGGGATTTCATGATGTTGGGATATTCAGAAAAATATCTCAAAAACAATTATCCGGTTAAGTCTAATGCTACCCTTGAACGTTAAATGGTGTCATTTTCCTATTGGTCGTTTCCCTACTGATCAATGTTTATTTCGCGTGTCATTTTCCCATTGGTCAATATTATTTCACGTATCATTTTTCGGTTGGTCAATATTTATAGTAATCCTAACTGTATAAATATGCATTTGTTTGTAAATCATCATTCGGCTCCTGACCCCATAAACAATTTTTCATCTGGGGTTTGTGTTCTGATATATTGGAGATTGGGTAACAGTATTGGGGTCGAACTGGGATATCTGAAGCTGGTCAGTCGGTAGAAATTAGAGTAGCCACCTCGCGATTCACAATACATGACTCAATGGTCCAGATGAATCCACCTTTAATTTGTAAAACTGGAGGAGCTTACAAAACTGTTGGTTACATAAAAACAAAATCGTTTCAGTTTTTTTATAGATCTATACTGTTGATTATGTTTACTATGGCATTAAAACATTCACTAGTCAATTCACCCAAATATGTTAGCTTTGTTTGAGTTGCCCCACAGAAATCAAACCTAATAGTGAAAAAAGAACAGCGGATTCATTGTGTAACATTATGGTTCCAAATGCGAATATCTTTTGGGCGCTGACGTCAGCTTGGAGGAAAGAGGGTTTTTTTTATCGTTCAGCTTATTTCAAAAATCGGTATGAAAAAAACAAATGAAGGGTGTAATTAAAGCCTACAAATTAATATAGTTTCTTGGCTGTCAGTGTCTTATTTATATTTGTCTATGTATTTGTTTTTAGGTGAATGGTCAAAATCTGCTCAATGTTAATTTTAACTGGGCACTACAATTAGAAACTTATCAACACGCTTCAACTGGACACATTCTTTTGCAAGTCGTGTATAATGCGAATTTTCAACCGATGATTTTTAATGCTTCTGCAAATTACTTGCAATCGGCGGGAGCACATGAAATGTTTTATCCAACAAAAGCAGATTATATACGACCAGCTACATTGATACTTGCATATACAAAGTAATTTATGGTTTATCGATATACTGTCTTACTAATATAACCTATATGAGATACCTTTTTTAGTGTATCCATGGCCGATAGTTGGTGGGGAAACCGATTTCCAGCTGGATTCTAGTCAACAGTCGTCATCTTACCAGTTTGCATTACTCACTATGATTGATAAAACTCATGAGTCGTTAGACAATTAGCTGTAGTGAGAAAGGACTGTTCTGTGTTTTCCTTATTTACATGATACCTGAATGTAGCGCGTTTGCTGTTTGAATTAGAATTAAACTCAGATTAGTAATTACATCTCGTAGCTCAGATACTTAGACACACAATAAGCCATTATAAAGGTGATTATTCAATTAGTTTACTTTTAATTCAGTCACCATCATTGTGTAAATTAAGACAACGGTATTCTATGTTCCATGTTAAATCAGTGTACTAATAAAACAAACTATATACCTATATATACAATTAGTGAAAATGTATATGAGCAAATTAGTTAAGAACTTTAGCCACATAAAAAAACCTCAAAACATATTTCCCAAATAGAATGGTACAGAATAGTAGCGAGAATTCTTAGAAAATAAAATATTTATTGGTTCCTTTATAGTTGTTCCGTGTTTTTAATTATAGCTATAGTGAATTCTGAATACTATGTGCTTCTATAAATACTAATGATATGATCTTTATATTCATATTTTGTAAAGTTGCAAGGATATCGTTGACTAGTTTGGTTACTTAGCTGTTGGCTATGAATATTTCTAACAGTAACAACAGTATAACTGAATTTTTAAGTAAAATGACCATTCGCTTATTTTTCTTAACTTTTTAGGACTGGACATTTAAGTGCAGTTGAGTGGGGAAATGCAAGTTATCATTTTTCCTATGATGTTCTGAATCGATTGAAAGCAGCCGATTTAGGAAGACCTGCGGATACTTTATCATTTCAATATGGAATCCAAAATATTCCATTTCAGGTAATCATTAATTTTAAGCTCAGATTATATCGTAGCCGAGTTGAACAGCTTTTTTGTATTTTTCGAAAAACATTTAGATTATTAAATTTTTCTCTAAAACTAGCTCTGAATAAATTAGTAACAATTAATACTTGTATGGATTCCTAATATGACAGTAGTTCAACAATTCCTATGATAGGAAAGAGAAAAACAGAACAACATAGAACTTCACAGAAATCTCATAGCTTCAACTGGTTACAACATAAGTGTACACAAATTAAATAGGTATACAGTACTCAAATGATGAATACTTAGAGGAATATAAGTAACAATCACATTTACGCGATTGTGACCGATCTTGCTTTATATTATTTAAATCTGCAATTAGTGAATATCGATATCTTGATAATTCTCATCAAACAACATTCACTGAGTTGTTTTACCCTGATTAGGTGTCAATATCTTTATTGACTAGTTTGATCACCCTTCGCCTTTTCCTAACCTATCTCTACGTATACCGAAATTATGCATCAAGGGAGGCCATATAGAAACGCATGTCTCAGCTACATTGCTTGTCCGTAGCTCACCAATCTGTGTATGAGCTAATAAATCGGCAAATATTTATAATGAAAATGCTAATTAAGTTTAGATACATTTTATCTCTTTTAGTTTTTTCAGCGTTAATGCCAACATTATTAGTGAAAAGAATGATGCATTACTTTTCTATAAACTAAGATAATGATAATCCTACAAAAATATGTATTATACAATGATAGTCGTTTCTCATAGACCGATATTAGCTGAAAGACTAATTAAGATTGACGAACTGAAGAAAAGGGTTTAATTTGTGGTGTTAACCATAATATATGTTTATTGTTTTAATCCTACCAACTGAAGTTAGTATTTGTTGCATTGGTATTTGCCACCTGGCCCACTGTAAATCAATGGTGCTTTCTGATTATTCTTTTGCTTCAACAACACTATAATTTACATGTCAGTGCCCAAAATATTCGACAAAGTTTTATTTTTAGAAAGAGAATTGTAAATCTTATCAGTTTTCAAAGTACTAACCGGAAGATGATCATTGAAATCAATAAAAATAATATATTTGTAATATCCCAATGAGTAGAAAATTGGATTTTCTGACGTTTCGTGGCTTAGTGTAAGTCACTTCTTCAGAGAATAAATAACCAATTTGGTTATTTATTCTCTGAAGAAGTGACTTACACTAAGCCACGAAACGTCAGAAAATCCAATTTTCTACTCATTGGGATATTACAAATATATTATTTTTATTTATAACAATCAACCCAATGCTCAATTTATTCGAAATTATCAAATCAAACCTTGGTAATGACACCTACATTGAAATCAATGTTTAGATTACTAAATAACTATTGAATTATGACGAAGTATTTTTTGTCGTATGAAGTGTTTGTTTTCATGTTGATTTATTTCTATAAGAATTCAAAAATCATGTCTCCTATAATAATTATGACTGTAATTTTACTTCAAGTAATAATATCTTGGTCTACTCAGCGTCGAAATTCAAGACGCTCTCATCGAAATAATAAACGTGTATTACACTTTTTAAATATATTGCGCTGAAAATTTCAAAGAGTTATGCTTTAAGTGTAGTGTTCATTATGATTCTTTCTTCCTTCTGAAGTGTCAACGAGTCGTCTAGTTCTTAACAAAGTTATAATTACTTGTATTTGTTAACCTTCTGATTAGAAAATAAAGCGTTTTGCTATCGATCTATAACTGAAACTGGAAAATAACCTGGAATTTAAATCTGTTTTACTGATTGAATGCTGCTCACTCAACTGACTGAGCTGTAAAAAGCCTATGCAAAGAATAACTCTGATTATTGTGCACATTAATGATTAGTTGACATATATTGTCTGTTCACTATTTATTTAAAACTAATTATCAATTACTTTAATTGTTCTATTTATTTATTTATTTATTTTATTCAGTAAAAAATGTATATTCTTATCTGTTTGCAACTTACAGCCAACAATGGTTTCTGTGAGTGGATCAGGTCTCTACACATTACTTTATTCTGATAGCTTTATTGGGTCTAGTGAACATCAAGAAGCTAGTTCATTATCATCATCAAAATCAGACTATATGGGTCTTTCTGGAGTTATCACTCCAACCGGTCTTAGACGTCAGTTTACTCGAATCAATGGAATAAAAGTTAATCGTTTGATGTTTACACCATGGCTAGACTCACCCGGTTCCTGGGTCTATGAATGGGGAAGTGATGTTGGTAGTTCTATGAAATTATCATCAGATCATTCACACTTGCTTCGTTTCATATGGCCAAGTAGTTATAGGCGTATATCAATATTTCCTAAACAAAATTTCGTAATTTACGATAAAACATCAGTTCGATGGGATTCTAATGGTTTGAAACAACCAGTTAATATATTAACTGCTCCACTTGTACAGTTGACGGATACTGCATCTGGTTTTCGGTTACAGTATCAGCGTATCTTTCAAGGAAGTTTATTACAATCTTTGCATATAAATCACCGACTACCAGGTGTAAAAACTGCCCATCCTAATCTTGGGGGAATCCTGAATGCTAAATTCACTTATGGTTATGACTTAAATATGAATGTAAGTTTTCCTGAACGAGAATCTTTTTGTATTATACATAATGTTATGTGTTATTACGTCTTCACATAAACCTCTTCAAGAATCATTATAATTACCAAGTACTTTGAAAATTCCTCAGAAGACTGTACCGTTATCTTCTGTCGCACACACACCTAATCACATGATAACAATAATAATGTAGAATAACTACTGTAGGAAACAATTTCCCACAGATTCAACTCTAAGCTAATACCGAACAGTAGCTAGAGAATAGGAAAAATGAGTCAACAAGCCAAAATTGTTTTACAATGAACATTAAACTGTGATTGGTTAATAAAGAGATACAGTCGTACAAGGTCAAAAGGAGTTGATGTGGTGGTGGGCGTTTCCCTTATTATTGGTGGGTTCGTCTATCAATCACATTTTACACTCCCCCCGAAACGCGCACCACGTCCGTTGTCTAGGGTCGTCGTCGCCGTCAGACAGCCGGCTCCTTCTAGTAAACATAAGCGTCGTACGTCCCGAGCAGTTTCTTCGTTTGAGGTTCTCAATTTTGCCGTACGAACTCGTCCGTCAAAGCCATAGCTTACTTGTTCGACAATAGCGTTGGACCATACAGAACTACCAGATGTACCCTTACTCTTGTTCACAACTCGTACAAGGGTGTCTTTCTCAACACCATCCTCGATACCACGGCGAATATGTGCTACCTGCTTCTTCAGGGTCTTAGTTACTGGCTTCTTCGTTACAGTGGTCTTCGGCCTTTTCGTAGTCTTCACTTTCAGTTTGATGTCCTTCTTTTCCTTAAGCTTTCGTAGAGTTGATTTGGATTTATTAGCAGATGATGCTTCAGTTTTTGGCTTAACAACCTTATACTTAGTTAATAAAAACGAACAATGAACTTGACGAGAGACATCTTCGGGACGAGTATACTCCGCGACACCACATGCAGATTCTGATAATGCTATACGATCTTCCATAGACATCGATGAAGTACGACTAAGTAGGTCTTTGAATTCAGTTGAATACGATTGTTCAAACTTATCCTCTAATTCCTCTTTAGCTGAGAGGTGATTGAGTACACGATTGCTTTTACAGGGTTCCCCATAGGAACCGAACAGCGTCCAACCTAACGGAGTCTTCACGGCGAATGGTTCATTCGGCTTTCCAGTTCTTACCTCTTTCATTTCGTGTACACTCGGTGCGTTGCACCCGATCAACAGTTCGACATTCTCATCCTCTACTCTAGGAAAACTTATGTCTTTTAAATGCGTCCAGGATTTCATTTGAGACGTCGTTGGTACCGTCCTGCGCAACATAGGTAACCTCTCGACTGTCCATACGTTTGGGATTCTAAATGACGAAGACGAGTCTAAGGATGAAACCTCTAGTTGAACCTCTTTACACTGAATTGTGGAATGGTTATCCAACGTTTTCAACGAAATCGTCTTAGGCTCTCCTTCTAAATTCAACCTTTTAGCTAGATCTTCTGTAATAAGAGAGGCATCCGACCCACTATCTAAGAAGGCGCAAGTCTGTGCTACCTTTTCTCCATTTCTTACCAGTACAGGCACTATTGCGAATGCTGCTTGTTTCTGTACACTCTCAACACTTTTCTCCGTACATAGCTGGGTGTTAATGTGTGCATCAATATTAGTATTCCTTGGTTCTTCCCGCAACTCATGTAACAGAGTATGGTGTCTCCAGCCACACCCTTCGACAGCACACGACCTCGGCGACCGACAATTTTTTGCTATGTGGTTTGCCTTCAGGCATACATTACACAACTTGTGTCTAAGAACGAATTCCTTCCTTTCTCTAACATTCTTGTCTTTAAATTTCTGACATTGATCTAAAGAATGATTACTGGAGCACTCCAAACAAGATGAACTGCGTAAGAGAGCATTATCATCACTAGCACTCGCATAAGATATTCTTGCTGCATTGTAATCTGTACTAATTTTCCTTTTTAAAACGCCAACATCTCTATTGTCACTATTACTACCGCGGTTGACGAGTAGGCCGTATCTAGTATTAGCTATATCAGCTTGCTCCTTTACAAACTCAACAAGATCAGTGAACAGAGGCTCTCTGCCTCCTCTGATAATCTTATAAGCTACCTTTAGCCACTCTTGTTGAATGTGCGTTGGTAATTTCAGAACCATAGTTTCAATAGTTCTAGAAGAGTTCAAATCAGAAACGTAATTCATCTGTTCGAGAGTCAAACTACATGCTTGCATTTCTCGAGATAATCTTCTCAAACCATCTGGTTGATTTCTCCTTATATTGGGAAAGTTTAACAAATTATCGATAAACGTGCGTGCTACGACGTGTTTTTGGCCAAACGTTTCTTCTAAAAGCTTTAGGGCTTGATGGTAACCTATCTCTGGTTCTAGTATAGTACAATGAAGGATAGCGGCTTTCGCTTCTCCGTCACAATATTGAATCAAGTAATTTAGCTTAGCTCTAAATCCAATATTCTCACTCCCAATGCATTCGAAATTTCTAATGAAATTCCAATAATTTGTCGGTGTACCATCAAACCTTACGACTTCGCTTTTTGGTAAATACAGATTTTTTAATATTGTATTCTCACTGTTGCTTACTGATTGGCCGGAACCTTCACATCTCCGGCAGCGTAATTTTTCTAGTTCAATTTCCTTTTCTAACTGGGTTATGCGCAACCTAGCTAACTCTAGTCCTATCATGCTGTTGTTTTTGAGTTCGTTCTTCCCAAGTTGATCCTCGTCATAAACTCCCGAGTGATGTGATAATTCTGGAATCTCATCGGAATCGTAGTGTTTATTGGAAGTCATTTCAATAGGTATATCGAATGTACTGTTCGAAACTTTGTAGGAAGCAATTTCTCACAGATTCAACTCGAAGCTAATCTCTAGACTGTCGAGTACAGAGTCTTGGTTTAGCCAAAGTCAGAACAAGTAAGCTATTTGGCTATATAAACTTTATCTGTTTCTAAAACATAAATTAACATCATTAGCGTACAAACAAACAGTACGGTCTATTAATACAGAGAAAAACAGAGACAAATAACATACCGAACAGTAGCTAGAGAATAGGAAAAATGAGTCAACAAGCCAAAATTGTTTTACAATGAACATTAAACTGTGATTGGTTAATAAAGAGATACAGTCGTACAAGGTCAAAAGGAGTTGATGTGGTGGTGGGCGTTTCCCTTATTATTGGTGGGTTCGTCTATCAATCACATTTTACAACTACTCTCCTCTTTATTCAGTGATAAATAGTCGGAAAACATATTAGTCCACCTGATTCTCATAATATAATGTTTTGCAAAATTTAACAGTCGAATATTAAAACTATCATATGGAAGCTATCACACTTCAGCGATGACCTCAAAACAGATGAACATTAGTACTAAACTAAGATTCTCAAACACCCCTTGCAACTCCTCATCCAAACGTGTTCTATACGGGTTTTATTGTTTCATTCAGAATTTCACTAAACGAGTTCACAAATAGGGGTTATATAGCATAACTAAACTTCTCAATGTCCTTTACCAGTCTATCCAAACAGTACCTATATGTATTTGCCACTAATTCTTGATATTCACATTGACCAATCGCAGGTAAGTGAGTAATTCAATGTTATTATGTTGTTATATGTAGGTTGATGTATACGTCTTTGAACAATAATGTTTACATGAGGGTTAGTGAATTCACTGCATCAGTTTATGAACCTGTGACCAATTGTTTGAAAATCTTTTTCTTTAACCATTAAGCTACTGTTGCACCACGTCACTTCTCCAAAGAGACGCGATCTTTCTCTCTGTGTTTGTTTTATTCTCAATAATTATCGTAGTGCTGTATTATGGAGTTTTTTTCAACTAACCTGCTGTTGTGTGTAAATCTTTGAAATTTTGAAATGGATGACATAACTAAGGTAAAGTTTGTATGGAATCAAGTACAACGTTAGGGACTTGTAATATATCTTTGTATTAAAGTGGCAGCACGAAATATCAGTATGAAGAGAGTTTTTATCAGAAAACTTAATTACGACAGTACTTACACATTTATTTTCCTCTTAGTTTGTGTATTTATATGAAGTCACGACTAACTAATACTATCACTCATTTTCTCTCGTATTTTGTTTAGTGATTCTGTTTCTCATATGTGAATGAAATGCAAAAAATAGCCATAATTACGCAGGTTATGCACAGAATTTATGTTTAGTACCAGAAATACAACAACTAAATAGGGTGATTTAAATTCAAATCATAGTGAATACAGATTAAATTGCAATTATCCAGGGTTATACATTTTGTTATGTATCAAGTAGGCACAAATATGTTCTTTTATGGGAACGAACTTGTACAAACTGATCGTATGGTATGAAGTCCTGTCGACTTTATCTGATTCCAAACGTAAAGGATTTCAATTTACTTGCTCAATCTAATGTACACTGACCTCTTTCATATATTTTGTAAGGATAACAGCAATAGTATGGCAATGAAATTTTCAAAATATCCTTTTCCCAGTTTGTTTGAGATGAGAAAATTAGTATCGCACTACATCGTGATTTTTCTTATTCACTGGATAAAATATATGGTCAATAGGCTAATAATTGTATTACTCTTTACTTATCCTGACCACAGCCTAATACTGTTTCATATGTACTTGAACTGAACTAAACTGTTGTTTATTTCTCAAAAAGCTTTCTCAAGATATTCAGTCTAATTTGCCTGGTATAATAATCTATGAACTATAATAGGAAACTAAATTTTAAAAATTCTGTTCATATAACTGACTTTTTGTACAATTTGATTAATCTTCTTTGATTTATCATCTTTATTACTTTCTAATTTAGCTTGTAAGTATTCATACATCATTGTTTATAAGGAATAATGAAGACGATTTTGGTAATACAATTAATTCTGATGATAAGACAGTATTGAATGAAGAATCATCAATCCGATTAGATTCATTAACTGGTCGTGTATTGACTATGAATGAATTCACTATCAATCATCAATCCTCTTCATTGCATATAACTTATAATTTAAAAAATATACAAATTTATCGTCAATGGGATGATCGTCAACGTATTATACAATGCGTATTGCATTCAGTAAGTAGTCCATTTGTTTTTTTCCTATTTATATTTTCAAATACATCATAAACGTTATTGCAAATAATTACTGTTTTTCAAGGTTAAAAACGAGTCCAATTAAAGTATATATTTATGTAGTTATACTTTGATCCGATTAGCTTAACGAACTGATTTTAATAAGTAATGACTGAAGCTTAAGATAGTGATTAAGCCCTTGTTTTGTCATACTACTTTAGTGTTCGTACATTGAAAAATGCATTTAGCTTTGCTTTCATTATGATTTCAAGCTTTACAATTTTTCCCTTTCGTCAACTGCCTGTATTAATTCGGATACTTAAAGCCAACTTTTGAGCCCTATCGATAAGGTTGATAAGTGTTCTTACCATTATTTCTTCTTATCCAGATTCTCCAAGGCATGCTATATTTTTACATTTTTATTCGTTTGTTAAGTAATTTTAGCTCATAAAAACTCTCCTAATTTTGTGTCGAAAACAGGCGAGCTAGCTGATAACTGATCTATTTTTAAGGGCCCAATCCATAAAGATGAGCTTCTGGATATCTTGATAGAAGTGAGTATACTGCGCAGCAACCAGCTCTGTATTACTACTGATCGACTGATTTGGACGTGTTACGTACTCTCATTCATCGCCTACTTTGGTGGGCGGTGTTATCTGATGTAGAAGTTGAGGGACGGCGAGGTGCGGCTAAACCAAGACGTGACATCAGCCCATAAGGTCATTGGCTGTTCGTTCGAGTCATATTCATAGATTCAGACTGTCTGATTGGAGTCTACACGATAGCTCCAACCAGTGATTGAAAGCTTCGGCTGACGTGGTTCCGAATCGGTCACAATGGTGCGGATATATTTACTCCCTACCTTGCCTTAAATCATGGGTTCTAGTATTGCTTGATAGTTTGATTTTCTGTTCAATGGAATCAGTCCAACTTACTAATATAAGAGATAACTGGAAGTATACCTCTTCTAATCCTGTTGAAACACTTCTATAGAAGGGATGACCTCCTAATCAAGGACATCTCATTCTAACCAATAATTGGTGTTGTCAGTATGAGGATTTGTGGAGATAGTAGTATTTTCAGTTAAAATCACGAATCAATTTAAGTTAGACCACCAGTGAAAACCTGAAAAAACTGGCCCGACCGTTGTTGCTACCTTGACGTGGTGGTCGGGCTTGCCTATCGTGATGAAGCAACCGAGCTATACTGGCTGGAACAACCGTTCCTCAAGGTCCTACCATGTCAGACAGGTCGGTTGAAGAGCGGTAAGACTAAAAGCAAAAAACCCAAGGTCCGAAGGCGAAGTCGTACTGCTGACTGTACAGAGGTGTGACAGCAGTAAGGTGTTTCCTTCAGACAACCAGCATGACAGCGATGCTGCCTTCTCACAAGGAGGGGTGGGGTTAGAAAAGGTCGACCCTAAAAATGCGCACCTCACCTTACCTCACGGATTTCCGTCTCCGGCGGTAAGGCCCTTTGAAGAACGGAGCTAACACGTCAAAAACCTCCCACGAAAAGGCCGTGCGCGACCGGCCTCAAGCAGTTGTCCCTTGGGCACTGCGGTCACGCTCTCAGGTCACTGAGACCGCCTCTAATCCAATTTCCTTTTCAGGTACCTCCAGAAGAACCCTTCCACGGTGTGGGCAACCGGGAAGTGATAACCGCCCTCATACCTCTAACAGCACCCAAGACCACTGTATTCCTAATCAACCTCCCTCTTCAATTCCTATTATTCCTCCTACATCGACTTTCACCTCTAAACTTCCTCTTTCGGCTTCCCCCTCAAGTGTCACCATAGCCAACGATTCCAGTGCTCAAAACACTGTCCCAGGTCTACTGAAACCTCGCTCCAAACTACACATTGGAGCCTTCAACGTACGCACCCTATGTCAAATCGGTCAACAGGCTTCCTTGGCTAGAACCCTAGAGTCTCTTTCCATTGATGTGTGCTGTGTCTCCGAAACACGCATACAGGATTCCAGTGTGGTCATTCACTTGACCTCACCTCGGCAAAACGGAGAGCCAACGAGATACACCCTACGTGTATCTGGTGACCCGATGGCCAGTTCTCGTGGACTGGCAGGTGTAGGCATAGCACTAAGCATGAGGGCGGAACAAGCACTGCTAGAGTGGATCCCCGTCAACAGTCGTCTATGTGCTGTTCGGCTAAACGGCTCCGTAAGAACTCGGAAGGATAGAGACACGCGTCGTTGCCTTTTCGTCGTTTCTGCCTACGCTCCCACTGACTGCAGCTCAGATGATGTGAAAGATGAATTTTACAGAAAGCTGTCCGAACTTCTTCAGAAAGCTAAACGCTCAGACATAGTACTCGTAGGGGGTGACTTTAATGCTCAGATAGGTAGCTTAAACCAAACAGAAAGGCATTTAGGTGGATATTTTAGCATTTCGGCACAGCGAACAGATAATGGTGACCGTCTGCTGCAACTGTGCTCAGACAATCGCTTATTTTTAGCAAACACAAATTTTAAGCATAAGGAGAGACATCGTCTAACATGGCGACCGCCTGCACCAAGCCAACGATGGACTCAAATAGACCATATTGCCATCAGTCATCGTTGGAGAGGGTCGGTACAAGATTGTCGCTCATTCTGGAGTACCTGCTTGGACTCCGATCACGCCCTAATACGGGCACGCATCTGCTTGCGCCTCACTGGACGCAAAAAAGCCTCAGTAAAAAGACCCATTAGAACCGAACTGAGTAGCGAGGAAACCAAAAGTAGGTTCCAGGAACAACTGAGGTCACGATTAGGTAGTTCTGAAGACGAGGTTGACCCAGATGTTGCTTGGAATGAAATACAAGCAGCTGTGGAAGCAGCTGTGACATCTATTAGCGACTTAAACCACAGAGTTTCAAAGAACCAGTGGATTTCTTCAAAGTCTATCACACTGATGGATTCTCGCAAACTCGTCCCATCAGGTTCTGAACATGATAAAGAGCGACAACAAATCAGATCTAGGTTAAGAAAAAGTCTAAGAAACGACCGTGAGCAGTGGTGGGCAACGAAAGCAAAAGAGATGGAAAAGGCGGCGGCTATAGGGAACACAAGACAGCTTTACAGACTAATAAAAGAAACTGGAATTAATAAGTCAAGTGTAAGTGAGATTATTTCGGAAAAAGACGATACACTCATCTGCTCCCAGTCCAGGCGTTTAGAACGATGGGCGGAACATTTTGGAGAACAGTTCAGCTGGCCTTCAGCTACTCTACAACTACCCTCCATTCCCAGACAGTGTGAATGGAACATTGAAGTAGGTCCCCCAACTCTTGCTGAAGTTCAAAAGGCTATAGTGAATCTGAAACGAGGAAGGGCAGCTGGTCCAGATGGACTGGCTCCAGAGGTCTTTAAGGATGGTGGTCCAATTTTAGCGATTGGGTTGACTAATATTTTAGCTAAGATCTGGGAGTTAGACGTTATTCCATCTAACTGGTCACAATCACTTATCGTCCCAATATATAAGAAAGGGTCAAAATCATCCTGTGACAACCACAGAGGGATTAGTTTAACTAATATAATATCTAAAATACTAGCCTCAATAATTATCGGACGCCTAACTAAGACTCGTGAACTGCAAACACGAGAGAACCAAACTGGCTTTAGACTTGGTCGTGGCTGCATCGACCACATATTCACCATTCGTCAGATTCTAGAACATAGGCATACTTATCGGCGTCCGACAATGGTGGTCTTTCTCGACTTAAAAGCAGCATTTGACTCGGTAGACCGTGAGATTCTGTGGCAATGTCTGTCATTGAAAGGCGTACCTCAGAAGTACATAAACCTTGTGAAGGCTCTTTACTCGAACACTACTAGTCGAGTCAGAGCTTATGGCGAACTGTCATCTACTTTTGCAACCTCAAGTGGTGTCCGTCAAGGCTGTCCACTTTCTCCATTTTTGTTTAACTTCATCATAGACTTATTGATGGAAATAACATTCTCGTCTACTGAATTCTCGGGTATTGATCTCCTTCCAGGAGGTCCACTTATCGACTTAGAATACGCAGATGATATAGTCTTGTTTGGTGAAGACGCTGACAAAATGCAGAGTGCTTTGGTAGCACTGAGCAACAATGCCAGAATGTTTGGAATGCGCTTCTCTCCCTCTAAATGCAAGTTGTTGCTTCAGGACCGGCCTGCGTTAACACCTGAACTAAGGATAGGGAGTGAGGTAGTCGAACGCGTTGACAACTTCACTTATCTTGGAAGTCTGATCAGCCCTAATGGGTTGGTGTCTGACGAAATCTCAGCACGGATTCGAAAAGCTCGTTTGGCTTTTGCCAAATTACGTCACCTTTGGCGAAGGCGAGATATCCGTCTATCAATTGAGGGACGAGTATACTGCGCGGCAGTCCGTTCTGTTTTACTTTATGGCTGCGAAACATGGTCATTAAGAGTAGAAGACACTCGTAAGCTATTAGTATTTGACCACAGATGCCTTAGAAATATTGCTGGCGTCTGCTGGGATCACCGGGTAAGTAATAGTGAGGTTAGACGCAGGGTATTAAGGAATGATGGTAAATCAGTTGATGAGGTTGTGAATCTTCATCGACTGAGATGGTTGGGCCACGTGTTACGTATGCCTGAACACCGATTACCACGACGTGCAATGCTATCCGGTATTGGAGATGGTTGGAAGAATGTTAGGGGCGGCCAAACCAAAACGTGGCATCAGTGCCTGAAGTCACTAACTTCTAGTCTGAGCCATGTTGGTAGATGCAGACTACTTGGTTGGGGTCCGCGTGACTATCGTAACCAATGGTTGGAGACTCTTGGTGACATGGCTCAGAATCGATCACAATGGCGTCGGTGTATACACTCCCTGTCTTCTCTTAAACTAAGAGATTAAAATCGCTTCATATCTTCCTTTCTACGAACCAATTCTTTCTTCCTGTACTATATCTCTATATGCAATCTTTCTCTTATATATTACTACCTTTGACCTAACCACTGCTATGAATCCGGTGTTCATCTTGTTGTGCTGATGCGGTATGGCAACCTGGACCGATGCACATATGTGCCTGGTCCTACGTTGTAGCTGACTGACTCACTGAAAAAACTGGACGGCCGTTTTGTCCTAGTATAGGACTCCTCAGCAGTGCGCATCCACGACCCCGCTTTCGGGACTCCAACCCAGGACCTCGCACGAACGATTAGCTTCTAGACCACTGAGCTGGCACCCAATGGTGATAATGTCCGATTTCAGCCAATCTAGGATCTTGCCCAACCAGTGCTTCCAGGTGACACTCTAGCTTAGATCGACTAGTGATTTCAACTGTAAAAATTGGTGATATGTTTCGTTGTACTTTATACTGTTTACTTAATATGAGTAAAAAATATTAAATGGAGAAATTTCGACTGTTCATTATACATTTTATCGTATAATGATTGTTAAATTCATTACAACCGTGTTGCTTGGATTTATTTCCTTGTGTTTGTTGCATAAAACGTTAACATTTTTGATATTTTTTTTGTTAAATAGCTTAACAGCAGACGTGAATTGTTATATAACTTGTCATTATCATATCAACCAAACGCTTTACAAGCCTTACAACAACGTGAAGAACGTGAAGGTCAAGTACCACGATGGATCACATATGTACATGGTCCAGGTGGACGTATAGAAGCTGTGGACCGTGAAGAAGCTGGTACAAGTTTAAGATCACATAGCCAGTTGATTTACAATGCTGAAGGACGAATAGCACATCTTCGTATAGCTACATCAGATCCTCAGCTACCATCGAATGAGCGGTCAGAGTCTGGATTAACAAGCCGTTCAGAAGAACTACAGTTCATTTATGACTCAAGAGGTTTATTGGCAAAACGAGGCAACTGGCACTATAATTTTGATGAAGATGGATTCCTGATAAAACGCCATTTACACAATTTTTATATTACAGATCAATTTGCTTACAATAGTAAAGGATTGTTGATATGGGCCGAGCGTGCAGTTGACAAAAGTGTTGATTCATCGTCCACTGACAATTTCCATTCAACACCATCGTCATCATCACCATTGGATCAATGGGCTTTAGAGGATGACGCCGGCTTAAAGCGTTCTTACTCAGTTCAATTCATTTATGATTCTGAAGATCGGTTGATAATTGTGCGTGATACCTTAATTGTACGGGATTCAGTTCAATATTTCTACGCTGATCCCAAACACCCTACACGTGTAACACATATTTTTAATCATGGACGTTTGAAAACTATCCGACTGTTATATGACCCCGTACATGGTCATGTATTTGCTTTAGAACAATATGATAATGGTGGTTTAAATACAAATAACGGTAAAAGAAACAATCTGAATTCTAATAGTATTCCATCTCCAATGAACTCCTTCGATGATAATCAGTTTCATCATGATTCTACTAATTCGGCACAAAAACGTGTATTTTTCATAATTACTAATCATGAAGGTAGTCCAACTGCCGCATTTTCCGAGAATGGAAAGGTACGTATGTATTATTTACCTTATATCTGTATGTTTCAATATCCTAAAGTAAGTACAGAACAGATAACATCATTGTTTTCCTCATATAAGGGCCTAGATAGTGATATATTTATAGAGCTGTATTGAACTTCCTATATCGGTTAAACGACACAGTCGTAAATGCGACTTAATAACAATGTATATATTCATGCGGCAAAACGTTAATGGCATCTAATTGGTGCATGCATTTTTAATAATATTACTCAATTGTTAATGGACAGAACTGTATTCGAACTCATGATTCAACCTTCAGATGGTTAAATGCTGAGATATTTGAGACAGAAATAAAAGGGGGATTGTTCCTTTACAGTAGTCAATTTGATACATTAACTGCTAAAAACTTTTTTTACGGAAAGAATTCACGTTTAAATTGAAAATAAATGTAAAAGAAATATATCACATCCGATTCTTCTCAAAAATATATGTTAGTATAATCTATGACATGTGATTAACAGCATTAGTATCTTAAAATTGGCACGTTTTCTGTGTTTAATCACGTTACTATAATGACGATTTGTCCCTTAATCAGTATCTTGTTTTTTAATAAATGATACAATAGGTACATTGATTTATAAACTAATCCATGTTAACTCGGATACACTGTGTTATTTTTCGTTTTAACTCCAGAACTCTTCTGTGATCATTACTTACAATAACATACTAATAATGTTATTGTTTAGACAACGTTTATTAAGTATGCGACGATTGTACAATCACTTGTACTATTTAAACTTGTGTTAATTTAATTCGGTTATTTATTTGCTCTGGAGAAGTGGCTTACATTAGGTCATGAAACCTCAGAAATACAATTTTTCTGCTCATTGGGATATAACAAAAATATAGTTACTATTATACTAATAACGATCATCATTACGGAAATAATTACATCGACAGATGCCAATGATACTAAAGTTATTATAGGTCCCTTTGGTGTCTCTAACTTATGTTTAGTAATAAATATGCACTTTAAAAAGAATCACTAGTAGGCTATTACTTTTAAACGTACATTTGTGTTAGTGGTTATAATAACTTTTTTCATTGTAACGTATCCAGTAATTCGTTTTACCATGTGGAATACTGAAAAATAACATGAATTATTTTGGTAACTTTGAAGCTTTTATTGCTTTGTGTATTAAAAGTGTTTATCAATTATAAGAATTGTAGCGTATAATACATCAGATGATAGTCTAAGGACAAGTCATCATTAAAGTTAAAAATGAAATTTATGTATTCATGTTATGCTTTTTTTTAATATCAATATTTTTTATGCTCTATCCTCAGTTGGCATGGGCTGCTGAATACTCCGCTACAGGAAGTCGACGTCTAACATTATCTAGCCGCAACAATTTCTTCACACGTGCCCTTATTGAAGAAGTTGATTTACCACTGGGTCAGGCCTCGTGCATTACCGATTTTCATACTGGATTTCTTTTCTGTCCACCAACTAGTCGTGCATATGATCCTCTTGGTGCAACATTTACTAGTCCGGATTGGCGAGGCCTTATTTCCACTCGACTTTCGAATGTTAAACGTGATCCATCAGTATTAGATACTCACAAATGGGGTCTGACTGAACAAGAAGCGTTAGGAACTGGCCCGAATGGTCTCTTTGCAGAACTTCGTAAAGCTATGACATCACCTATTTGGTGGCTTAAACAAGTTGGTTTCAATCTGGACAATTTTCTGACAAAGTTTGATACGTTTGAAGGAAAGGTGGATAGCAGTAAAAACTCACTCAAAAATTCATTGCCTTTATTTCCAATTGATATTACATCCATTCATTCATTTGATTGCATTCATAACCAAGGTTATAAACAGTTAAACAGCAAATTCGAGCATCTCAGTATGTTGAAGTCTAATCAGTTAACTCCTGGTGGACCACATGGTAGTGGGCTATCAAGCTTTCTTCTTGACTCAAGAGATGTTAATGATGAAATGTCTTTGCCTCTGTTACCCGCAAACACAATGTTCGGACCTGAAGTAAGTTTACGACAATTCATTTTTAGAATTGTTATGTTCATCTCTTTAGAACGGATTTCCTATCAACTCCATTGATAACAACGGCTCAATATCACTTTACTTTCTCAATCTTTGTTATCTCGTATAATCTAATTGCATTTCTTTTTATAGTACTCAGTGTTTTTAAATAGAGACTCAGGTTTCCTGAAATTATTGCACCTATAATTCAAGTTAAGAAAAGTAGAATTTTGGATAAAGTAGCTATAAGTCATATAAACTGACACTTTCCAATTTCACTTTTACCCAATTACATAGATTTCATTTCTTTTCCTAAATTAGTATGTGTATCGTTTTAGGAACTTTCACACAGTTTAGCACATGCTTTTACAGAGTAATTTCAGTCAAAATCACCATACTAAATGCTAAAATTCAAAGTATTTTCAATAGCTACTGTCATGAATTCTGCTATAAAAGCGATAGAAGACAGAATTACCGAATTTCTAATTGTTCCATTGTTTTTAACTGTTTCTCTTTCTTGTTTTTTATCACCTCAAGGTCGGTTATGTAGTTGACGATGATACTGGATCTGTTAAAGTTATCTCCATCAATCAATCCCAGCCAACCAAGACGCAATTTCAAGATGTATTAATCGACAGTTCACTAGAAAGAGAACTCGCTTCTATACTTATATCAGATACAAACCTTGTAGATTGGTGGAGTTACTCGAAATCATCCTTCCCTTCCTCTCCATCATCATCGTCAACAACAACAACACAAACAGCAGTATCACAGCTCAGTACAACACTATTCATTCAACTATTTCTAGCAACTAAAAAAGATTTTCATTCTACAGTAAAACAATTAACTACATTAGGTTTCCAACTACCAATGTATGATCGTATTAGTGGTATCAATTTAACAATAATGAATACAAATGAAAAATATAAAGAATTATGGATTACACGATATAATTTACAATGGAGAATAAGATATTTCAATTCACCATATCCATTATCACCCACGACAGAATGGTCTGTTCTAGTCAATTCAACTGTTGACGATGCTAAAAGACGTGGAAAAACATCAGCTTGGTTGAATGAAGTTAAATTAACGCAGCAATTCATCCCAACACTCAAACCAACACCATCAAAAATCGACCATCTTAATATCAATCAAAATAATTTTGTCTATCATAAACTAACATCCAAGTATATTTTGGGATTCAATTACCCATGGAATAGGCATGAACTCAGCGAATTAGTACAAAACAACACTGTTATGAATTATCGTTGGATCCCAACAATAGATTTTCTACAATACTCATCTTCTCCCTCATTATCTTCTGACACTTCTGCATTATGTAGGCTATATGATCATTCGAGTATGTATCAGATACGACCAAAGGAATTAAATAAACACGAAGAAAAAGATTTGCAAAAATAAACGGAAAATCCAGTTTTCATTGTATATTATAATCAATATTTTCCAAGGTTAGTCTATCAACCACATGTTAGCTTTTTTAGATGTTTTTTTATCTAAATGGTCAAGTTAGAATTGAAGTAATTTGTTGTATTATTCACAAGCCCGTATTAAAAATGGCACAACTAAATGAGACTGAATTTTGAAATTCCATCCTAATTCCCCCTAGAAAACAAGAAATCCAAACCACAATATGTGGTCTTACTTAACAATGTGAAATATCAATAATACCGGCATAAAAACTATTTATGAACTGTAAAATTACTGAGCCAAATCGGTAATCCTACTTAGCCAAATCTTGATGGTTTAATTAGCTAATTGTTATTCTGGTTGTTTATGAGATCCAATTCGAGGCTTCCAATCCTAATGAGAATCATGTCTTATCGAAGCGATTTATTAGTGATATATAGGGCTTAGTGTTTAAATAGAAAAAATATAAAGTTCTTCCAATATTAGTTCAGTTAACGAAGCAATAAATTTAGGTGTAATTGCAATTAATTTTGAGATTAATTGACACATTACTAAATTTAATCAGCAAGTATTTATGATCATTGTTCTAACAATCATATTATTATGGTTATATTAGTAGTAGTAGTAGTCTTGGGACACAATAGTATTATTGATAAATAGGATATTATGGCAAACAATAAGACTTTAATTATGATCATTTATCGAGTTGTTCCTCTATCGATTAGTTATTGTTTGATGTAACTATGTACAATAAATACCCTATACATGTGAGCGAAGCATAGTTTTGTAACGTGTGGACTGCAGGTTAGATGTGCAGCGTATTTATCGATCGCATCAGTGACACGTAAAACACGTAAGGACGACCTAGAGTCCCGATTGGTCCCGCTTCCCTGTCTAGCCCAGCCAGTTGAGTCTAGAACGCAAGTCACAGCCTCTGAGTTATGAATCGTTATATTCCAAACACACTCTGTTTATATACCAACCAAACAGACCACATCGTACCATAAAAATAGAAAACAACATCTGTACAATATTTAACGAGTGAAATAAATAATGGCCAATAGGAAATGCCCATTTAGAGTCCAAGGACATCATTAGACTTAACATGATAATTATTGGTATATTCCTCAGCATCCCTAACACATAGTGTCTAGATCGTCACTAAAAAATTACCATACATTGTTTAATACTTAATTAATGTAGTCATACAATATCACTGTTGTAAACTGAGAAGAAGGAATTCTGTATTATGTGAATGAATAAGTAATATATCGGATTATCTTGAATATCCCTATTTCCAAGGAGACTAGATTCCGAAAATAAAAGAACCAATTTAATAAATGGAACACTTTCAAAGAAGAAACTTTTGCTCAGCAAAAAAATGAAAAAGTTACATTAAGAGTTTATTTTATATATTCGTCCTGTCAAAAGTAAAGCTAATGAAAAGTACCTCAATTAGTAGAGTAGTTATTTCGAAAAAAACATCCTCAGACTAATTAAAAGCCAGTATGGGTATAGTTTTTGTACTCAAAAGTTCTGTCTTTCTATAATTTTATTGATGAAAGTGGTAATAAGACGTTTTTCGCCTTTCCTTATCAGATTGTAAGCTTAAAACTTCAATTTTGGCCTTAATTCTACCACAATCTTCCATTGAAGTTAATAATTGGTGATGTAAGTTTCAATAGTCCTTTTATAATAACCACTTTGTCTGGTTAAAAATGAACGTTTAATGTAACTTGTTCATACGATATTTTAAAAAATAGTAGGTATTCAAAAGGACGGTTTAAATAAGAAGGAGGGTTTACTAGAAATCCAGATTTCCTCTGTGCATCTAGCAGCTAATTACTTTTTGTGGAAGAGAGCGGAGAAAACGTACCTTGATATTTCTTTTACATCTTGCCCAAGAGATATAACTGATAACAGATAGTTTTTTCCCTAGTTTTTTTTCCATTCCTGAATCATATATAAGAAGCGTTTTGAACAAAATTGATACTTTCAACTCGATATTGTCTACCGAATCGGGGAACCTATAGCTTTGAAAGGTTGTAAGTGGTTGACTTTGAGTAACAATTTCCTAAATCAATAAAAAGTATTTTGCGACTGTGGTGACGGGCGTGACATTGAAATATGAGTTGACTCTAATTTGGTTAATCCACATTTCAATCAATGAAATATTATTTGGTCGTTGATTCATTCTGTAGGTTTATGGATTCTTGGTTTAATCACTTTCAGTCAGATGTCGTACAAAAGTTGCAAAAAATCTTTCTGTAATACAACAATATGAAACAATCTGTATATCGAATCCAATTACATTTTGTAAATAATACCTTATTGTTTTTTGCAAACACATTAACTTTTGCTCTTGTTTTTACTTTTTTTCAGTTAAAGAAAAAGTATTGAGGTGGAAATTGAAGACTAGTTCATTGCTACAATAATATTACGTAATCTAAAAAAATATCTGATAAAAATTACTTTGTTTATATTACTGTCTGTTATTTTTTGAGCATTTATTCCACAGACTGTTCAATCTATTCAACGTCTTTCATGAATGTTTCTCCTTCAAAAACAAGCGATTTATCTACTTGAATGCTTATTCCTCTTACATATAAGCGAAGGAATCATTTTTGAATAGAGTTATGGAATAACAATTTAAGAGAAAACAAAACGGAACTATCCATCTCGTCATAACTGTCTCTTTAGCTTCTTATCCACCTGTGAATTTTTTTGTTAATCGGTGCAGACATCTGTTTTTTTTCTTAAAATATTCCTTCTGCTACTAATGAACGGCTAACGTAAAACACAGAGGGTACACATATGTATATATATATATTTGCGAAATCTTTTTGAAAGGTTATTAAATATATAACAATAATAGTACGGTAATATGATTTTGTCTTTGACTCCATTTTTTCTTGTCACTGTCCACATAATTTTATTATTATTCAAAGTCTAAGAAGAAATTTCCAGTTATTTTATTAAGATCTCTTGTTGTAACTAGCGTTTTTTAGTGTTACCGTTTTATTTCGATTTTTCTTTTCTCTTAGTAGTAACGTAATGTGTTACGAACATGCAATGCAAATTTGTATTTTTTTATCAAAACTATTATTATTATTATTATTATTATTATTATTAAAATATGATTTGATTAATTTGTTATCGTTTTAGCTCTTCACATTATGACTGCAACTGTCATTACAACTAATACTGATAGTAATATCCGTAATAACTGAGATAGTATTACCATGATAATTTGTTTGTGTTCGCTTGTTTTTTTTAATAGCTACTGAACTTTTGCCGAACTTGAAATATCACAGAAGCAATACAGAATATTGTATTGTTGATAATCATGATATTATGTAGATTGTTGTGCTTGGTTACCCTGTTATTTTAAGTTATTTTGTTGAGATTATTTTACATTTGACTGACTTTTATGTTGACAAAAATCATCTACGTTTCGGCTTATTCACTCATACACATGTACACTTTCACGATACAATATAACTGCATATATGGGATCTGAATAATGTAATCAAAACTGTATTCGGCGTTATCATGTTTTGTTTATCTGTTCACTAATCCGGTTACATTTTGTTCTTGTTGTAGTCCGCCAAGTACACGTACAAATGCATAAATAAATATATTGTTATTCTGCACTCCTCCATTGCATTCTTTCCATCTTTTAAACATTTTATGAAGGATATATTTATTTTTCAATTTAAGTTTTCAACTGCATGATTTCGATAATCGTTATTTGTAACCTCCTTTATAAAAAAAATAACACTGAGCCTTTTCCCGTTTTTACGTATTTGTTCGTGTTTGAGTGTCACGAAGTACCAGGAGAATATTACTGGTAATGTTGTTTTCACTCTCCTCATCTCATCAATGCTGTTATCATAATTATTATATTGTCGCATTAAAGCAAAATGGCAATGTAAAAAGTACATTATATATATCCTGTAAGTACGTCTTTTCGATTTTTGTGTATGAGTACGGTCTGATTATCGTGCTATATTGACTAGTATACACGAAATGTATTTAGAATGAGATGCGTCTTTTGCCTTTGTAGTCCTCTACCTCCTATTTATCTTTCTCGAATTTACTTTTCTTATAGCACAAATACCAACAACTGCATTATATTACATTTACCAATGTACACTTTTTTATAATCAATATAGTCTGCATGCACTAACATTATGCAGCTTTTTTATATTGAATATAAATGGACTAACAATAATCATTTCATCGTCGTATTGTTCTTCTTCATGCTTTTGTTTCTGTCTATTTCATGATTGTGTAAACAGGCGAAAATAAAGAATGAAATTCAACTTGTATGTCGTTTTTTCTCGTGATTAATCTTGGTCTGTATTCACTTTGCATCATTTATATGTATATTAATATTGCAATTAATTATGATTGCTACTTATATATAGCAAATGTTTTCTCATTCAAATAGATGACGTAATTCTTTTTCCCAATTCTATTCTATGTAGTCACTATTTTATTTCTAATGAAAAATAATCAATTGTTAGTAATAATTGCATACAAACACTCATTACCTCGCCTATTAAGACTTAGTGAGGACTTCTTTCACACTATTCGATATTTTTTACTGTTAATGCACTATCAATTCTTTGATAAGGTCCAAGTCCACTCGAAACTCTCAAAAATCGGCGAATTTACTACTTATATTAATTAGACAACATTAGTCGTTGTTCATTAAAAATTAGACAGTCGGTTATAGTCAATTTAGGAATTAGCGCAAATATATATCAGTCTAATTTATGCTATCTCACATAGGCATATCTAGAAATCAAAGTAGAGTATTCTGTCCTCAGATAATATACACAGTAATCTAAACCTATACTATTATCCTTACAACTTACAAAGACTGGGTATCCTCATATGTCTTGCTTCCGTATGCCCTTTATATAATTCCTAGTCTCTAATTATGATTATAATGCCTGATTAGGACATTAGTTTTCAGACAATAAGTAACTCGGGATTAGCAAGTTAACATAATTGTTATAACAGTACTCCTCTAATAAATTTAAAATAACTCATTATTCCAGTAAAAATACATCTCTTGATGCACACTACCTGAAAATCATATCAAAAGTGATATTCAGGTTTTACTAACCTTGTTACTCAACTATAACTTTTTTGTAAATCCTTGTAAATTGAAGCAAAGATTGACTCACGTTATCGAATGATATTTGCATGCGACTCAGAAACTTAATGAAGCGCCTGACTCATTCAAGACTAAATAACTAACTTGATAAAAGAATTAACCATAATTCCCTCAGTAAAGAAAAAATTATCTCCAGTCATTTTCTGAACTAAGTATATCCTGCTTTACTCCACTCTACTGAATGTGTGTAACACATTTAACTTCTAAACAACAAAAAGAAAGAAGTGGTTAATCAAGCGTTGTAATAATTCCATGTCATCTTAGAAATAGGGTCAATAAAGTTATTGTTTTGCATTAATTTGAAATACACAGATATTATTCGGACGATCAGTTAGTTAAAATCCAACCTAGATCCTATCCTGCAGGGAGTGACAATGATCAAGATCTTTCTTAATCATCATACTATTGATTTCTTCACAGTAAAATCTAGCCATCAGTCTTGATTCCCAAGGGAAGTTGATCCGTATTGATTATTCCCATCGCAGTATTATAAAATTTGCTATTGTTAATCGATATGTTTCGCCTTCCCAGCGACTGCCATCTGGTCAAGTAATCGTACTAAAATCGACCATAACTCAGTCATACGAAAACATTCATTTTATGTCCGAGACTCGAAAATGATAAACCAGTTATTTGTTAGCCAACCATTCACATACTGTAAGCTTTTTCCTCAAATTAAACTCAAAATAATTATTAGCATTTCACTGAGAGCTATTCTATTGACAACCATAGCTAAAATTTGTGTACACTTCTACCTGAATTTCATTATACTACTAATATATTTTCACCTTTTCAAACTACGATGTATGATGAAAGTGAAATTATTCTTCTAATTCCATAAAATTAATACATAAAGTATTTCATAATTTGAATTATACGAACTCATGACTAGGTAGTTTAACTTGTGTTAACAATGGAATAGTCAAAAACCTTTAATTTGTTCACATGTGATTTTATTGGTATCAAGAATAAAATTAGGATTTAAATAAAACATGTATAATACATTATATGAAAACGATTCATGTTTGTTTGAAATGAACAGCAAAATGTTTGAATATCTAACAAATGTATTGTATGTGACTTTTTTAATCAGTCAATTCAGATGATAAGAACTAATGAATAAGTGATAGTTTCAGCAAATATAACTAAAGCGGATATCCAGTTAACCACAGTTGTTTCTGCTATCACTAGGTAGTTATTTAACTGGCTAACTACAAAGATGCAATAAAGCTTATCTACTTCAACTAAACTTTTCAAAATCACTTGGATCCTGTTTAAGTGGTATTGAGTGTTCCACTATTTGTACACTTTAATGAATCAGGTAATGTACATAAAATTTAAAAAGTACAACCTGAACATTTTGAAGTGACTCGTTATTTCAGTCAAATAGTCATGGTTAGTTGATTTGTCTTGTACTACGAAATTCTCTACAGTACAATCCATTAAAATAATCTATTTCAGACAGAGGGAAATCATCCTAGACCAATTGTGTTCGAACAAAAAATTCTTGAACATGAACTATTGTTTTTCGTAATATGGATGTACAGAACGGAAAAGAGAACCAAAACTCAGTAAAATTCAATGAAATCTGTAGATAAACACCATGTTTGTATTTCGGTTTCAAGAATCTCACAATGTTAATAGTAAATTGCTAACTAAAGGAAATGATTGAAAGATTTAAAATAAGGTTTTATATCCCCTAAACGAGCCGTGAATGCCGTTCTTAACCATTAAAAAATTTCACAAGTTGAAAACCTTTAGTTAAAATTTCCCCGGACCTTTGACGAGAAAGCGAGATGACCCAAGTAATGTTATTCAGTAGATGTCAATAACACTAGGAATATCTAGTTTACTCAATAGTTAGATTCAGTAATATGACGAATGATTTAAAATATTATATGTATATGTGATTTATTCAATCGTTTCGCAAAACAAAACAAAGTCCACCTACAAATTACTACGATTTACAGATTGATAAGCTAAACGTTATGATTCTCCCCCCCCAATCCACTTAAATATTTAGACTTGTTATACATTTATCTCTGTTTATCATAACTACACATGAAATCAATAAAACTTTGGCAAACGCTAATTATTAACCAGATAACCAATCAGATAATTATGCATAGATGTCGTTTCTAGATAATCGTAAAAATACAGGTACGGCATTCGTCAAATCAAAGTCCTGTTAATTCAATAAAACAGTAAACTGAAGTATAGTTAGTGGAGCTGTTTTTAATTACCAGCACAGTTTAAGTAGTAGGATAATAAAAACAAATTAGAAATGACTTAACTGTAAACAATCAGTCGCTAATCTCATACAATCAAATCCTTATCACTGACTAATCCTTTTTTATCAATCTTTTTTATTAAGGTCATGGGTCTATGTGAACCAACATCAAAAGCTGTTATATGTGATGGGATGACATCATCCATAACATCCTCATTTTTATATTTGTTTCTCATTATATCGGGTCATGGTACAACAGATATGTCCACGGCAGAAAACTGATGATAACTCTAGCTTATGTGATATGCGGTTAGAAGAAATTAAAGCTAAGTTACCTACGAACTATCTGTAACTCTAATAGTCAATAATTGTTTTTACCCGTTAAAGCCACAAACTGATGACTCATCTTTCGAATTACTGTTTAAAAGCTTATTATTTGTCTTACTTTGCAGAAGACAATATCTCATGGTTCCCTGAACTAGCTAATTCACATTATGATCAAGATTTCGGCTATCTTGTTTCCTTCTAAATGCAGCAAATTGTCTTAAAGAATGCCCTTAGGCCAGTGAATGTTGTGTAATATCACATACGTAACGAGAATAGAATCCTACCTTCAATCCTGAATTTCCAGTGATCTATCAGATTGAACAATCACTTTACCAAAGTGATATTATATTTATCTGATACTGTTTACTTAAATATCTGTTTTAGTCTCCAAAATAATAGTCCTATCATCTAAAATTCGTCTAGTTAGAACTCGGTGATTGGTTTTGTAATAAAATTATCAGTTCGGCTACCTCAGCCATTTTATTATTTTATTAGATAAGTTAAGCCATCATAAATTTTAGGGAGTCCCACATGATAATTTTTATTACAATAATTTGAAGATGTCAAAAGATTTTGGTTACTTTTATCTAGACGATTTTCGCCAAATAGTTGAACAGAAGTTTTTTGAGAGTAATCTCCACCATTGAGACATAGATATCAAAATAATCTTTACTGTCATTACTGTCAAAAAGCTGTATGATTTTGAGAATTAAGATTAAATGTGTAGATTGAATATGACTGAATGATAACTGACACAAATTAAAAACGACTGATCCAAACCCACAATGAATAGATAACAAAAATGATGAAATAGCTGGTCAGAAATAAGTCATTTTACGTAATGTAATTAGACATATACATGCAAAATATTATACACAAAATAAACATGATTAAAATCCACTTAACAAGTCAGCAAAATTTACATATTAGCCTTTTAGATCATACACGAACCTATGAATTTAAGGCCTGCTATATCACCGTCCTATGAAATTGTGGTGTTTGAATGAACTGATGATTTCTTTGTACTTGTTGAATGCTTGATTTCGAATTCTAAATACAATACATTCGTTCGTGCTTGTCTTATACTTCTTGATTCAATTGCGTTATTTCGGGGATTCTTAGTTCATACTACAATTCAAATAATTCAAAACATCAAAGAAGTGTTATGAGATCCTTGTCAAAAAAGGTTAATAGTGTCAACACTCCTGAAGGTTTCTTGGCTACATTTCGTATTCCTCCTGGTTGACTGGATTTTCCATTTGCAGACAACAGAGAGTGATACTGTAAAATTGCGGAACTCTGTTAGGGTATTCACTTCTTATGACTGAGTAATCATAAGCATACTTCTTTCCCTCCTTTCTGATAATAAGTGCATGCTGCATTTTAGAGTGCTAAATTGTGAGCAGTCGTGGTGTATTCGTTGATGTCCGACTATGGCTTTGAGTCGGTACAATAAACCATTCCCCTGTTTTGGACTCATAGATTTTAAACTTCTTTGCAAGTGCTTTCTTCTTTACACTGATTCACTCATTTAAATGTAATTTCACCTCGCTCTCTTGTCAAAAGGTTTCCTGACATACAATGAAATCTACCTTTGCTGACCTTTTATTTATTATCACTTACTAAACAAAATATGTTATTATGACTATCATTCATCCCGACATAATTTTCTATCATGAATTCATAGCGATTAGGAAATAGAACTAGAATGATATAGTTGGTTACAACTTCTTGAGAAAATAAAGATCTCCATTGACTGAAAGTCCTAATTCCCATTGTTATGTGGGCCCGATATTCCTGTCTATTGAATAATTATTTTCAACTACACCATATTTCTCTCTTAAACTTTAACATGTCATTTATGATTAAACTAGTTACTTAAGATAAATTTTACTATGCTGATTTATTCAGTCAACAGAATACCATAAATGTTCAAAAGGTCAGCAAAATATCTGATTCGTTTCATTAAAAAAATATTCTGCTATCATTGTTGATCTCTTTGTTTTGTTTTACTTAACAATGGTAGGTCTCAACAAAGTGATGGCCCGCATTAGCATTCTACACATTTTTGAATGTCACTAAAATCTAAATTTTTTAGTCACAAAGATTGTACTTTTAATAGTGAGTGAGAGACAGACAGACAGAAAAAATTATTATTTATATTTCCGTCTGCTTATGGATTTCTGGTTAGGCAGGCGTACTACACGAGACATACTATGTATACCAAAAAGTCTTATCCTTTTAGAGATAAAAAGAAACAAAAATAGTGTTACGACGAAATTGATCAACATTTTTTAAGGCCATATGAAGAGATTTGGTTAAAGTGGAAAACGAATATGCAATTATTAAAATCTATCGACTAGGAGAACAACGTGTATACCAGTGAGAATTTGGAAATACAAAAAAGTGAACAAGGTGTTTTATAGCTGCAGCCACCTACAATTACTAGTTCCAAGTAATTTACATAGAAAACTCAACTGACAAGTACTTTTTAAAAAAAAAGATATTCTCTTAGCATTCAACTCATTTATATATAGAACCTGTGGTTCACATTTAGTCCTTCCTTTGTTTTCAACAAATAGTATGATACAATAAGCATACTTCCCAGGTGCGCATACAGCTTTATCTGACTATCATGTAGGAACGGACATCCTGTCCACTATACGAGTACATAAAGAAAATGTACATCATGTTTTTTACTTACCCTTTCTTATATGACATTTAAATTTCAATGATGTATTAGTAGGTATTCAAAGCATAAAAGACGCGAAGTTCACAGTTTTCAAATTATAATTGATTAATCCAACTATATATATATATATATATATATATATATATATATATATATATATATATATATATATATATATATATATATATATATATATATATATATATATAGCCTAATTTAACATAATATTTATAGATCTATAAATACAGGCCCTGAAAAAGTAACTGAAAACACCTGTTCACTTGAAAATTTCGTTTGCGAAAATACGTGTATCTGCTCAA